TTTTTTTTTTTTTTTTTTTTTTTTTTTTTTTTTTTTCTGTCTCCCCAGTCTGCCACTGTAAATTGTGAGATACCTTCCATTAATTCCCCTTCCCGTGCCTAGTCTTCCCTCCTGCTAACACAGCTGCCTGGGGAAATCCGGGATCTTTTTGCAATCTGTGCCCTCAGCTTGATGGTATCCAGTCCGGCTGATTGCCAGCCGGGCTGCTGGCAGGGGCAGGCTGAAGCAAGGAGTAGGGGCAGGACTTGAAGACTTTTTTTTTCCAATTTTAGGAGATCCCTGGATAAGTATCCTATATTTGAAATAGGTCTATCCAGCAAAATAAATTGACCTGCAGATAGGACTGCAGATACAGCAAGAAGTGAATGAAACAGGAAGCAAAGCCGCTTGGCTACTTCTGTGCTTAAGTGTTTTGTGTGCTGCTCTATTCTCGTTAATAGATGTGGGTATGAGGTGCCAAAGCTTCCTTCTCTTCTCTGGCATCAAGCAACACTTGGCTGTTCACAAGCAACATGCGTCTTGGAGGATCAGTGTTGGGTGGTTGATGGGGCAGGCATGACAGCATTAGATCTCAGTCCTCTGGTTTGGTTTGTTCATGCTAAATTCCCTCATGCTACCAAAACCTGTAGCTGAGTTGCTTCAACAGAGAGGCCTGGATAGGCTTGGCTCTAAGCTGAGCTGCCTTCTGTGCCAAGCAGAGGGTCCCTTGCTTGTTGATTGGTCTCCAGATCTTATAGCTTCTCTGTTAGTTTTCTTTAAGTCATGTTTATGTTCATAACATTATCAGAAGCCTAATTCTAAAGTCCATATGGACCAACACTGGCTGTCTTGAATTCAGGAACACTTACTGATATCTGGGGTTTGCTTGGAATTGGGAAGTTCAAGAGACTGACCAAGCAGCTGGTTGAATCCATAAACTTTTGTGCTTTTTTGGGCATGTTTTCCTCTAAAAATTGCCCTATTTATTTTCTTACGCTTTTTATAACTTAAGTTTTTCTGCCTGAAAAGACTGGTGTTATGCTTGCTAGTAAAATGCTCTGAAAATAACCAGGTTTATTTGTGATTGAAATGGACAATTTTATATAGAAGCTTTTTCAGAGTTGAGAGATGTTTGGGTTTGGCTTTTGTAGATGCAGAGGGAAGCCCTGATGTACCCTGGGACCTGAACCTGTGGCTCAGTGTGAATTAACATCCTGGAGAGTAAAAAGGAAATGCATTAAAAGCATTCAGGTTCAGTTTTAATACATCTGTAGTACTCCTGCTTCCTTAGAGGCGATAGTGCCCTTGAGAGCAAACAGGGAAGGACGAGCAAACAGATGCTATTCTTGAACAGACTGCAGTTGTCTGCTTGCATCAGCACAATTGGGAGCGGGCAAAGCATCCACTCAGGTTGGTTCAGCATGTCCTTCCTGAAATCAGGAGTTGGACACAGGCAAAAATAACCTTGGGAGGTTTGTTACTGCTCTGAAGCATCCCATCTGGGACACTCCCGTAGTGAGCAGGCGTGGAGCTCTCTTTGGGGATTTTGCACTTCTTTTTCTTCCTAGGATATGATCTGTCCTCCCCTGGAGAATTCCTCCAAACTGAGAACTGCTGATGGAAGGTCTCAGTGTAAATCATGAGTAGAAAATATGTAGTTTTCACTGATCTTGTTTTGAGCAAGTGGTTTCTTTAGACAGCATTAAGTGGGGTCTGCCGTTTCGTGACAGTGCATCCCCTGGAGCTGTTTCTCTTGCATTAGTTAAGCTGGATATGTGCACTAATGTATGTCCATGCAGTTGCGAATTAAGCTTCTGCGTGTTGCCACCAGCTGTTGGTACATGTGCTATTACCACTGCACTGTTACCACTGCCCTCTCTGTCTCAAACAAAATAACTTAAAGTTCATGTCCTGCCCTGCGTTAGCAGTTTGGTACAGATTTAGAAATGTGCGTGACATGTCGCTCACGTGGCAGGTTTTATTTTATAAAATTTAATTTATTCTTGAAAGTATAAAAATTAATTGCAGCTGTTAATATTTTAGCAGATGATCCAGGCAAGAAAGTGCAGGACAAAGCTATATGCACTGTGCTATGATGGTATCCTATAAATTGTGCAAGGTTGTTCCAGTAAGGCCCTATAATATCTACATATTAAAAATGCTGTTGAGAGTCTCTTTTCATAAATCCAGGTAATAAAGATAGAAAAATATACTGCTGGAAAGCTGTATGCTCTTCTCTACAACTCTTTTTACATTTCACTGCTTTCTGAAAAAATATCATAATCAGCATTTAAACTGGTGTTCCTTGTTATATTAATTTAAAATGTTTTATTTTGTTTATAGACCAAAATAGTGGATGAAGATAAATATGCAAAGGAACAAGAATTTAACTTTGAAAAAGTAAGTCAACAGGACCTATCTAATCTCACCATTTTAGTGTGCAGGTATGTGTATTTATGTCTTTGGGAAAGCTGCAGTGGGACCAAGGGAAACGCTTCCAGGAAAGGTTATCTTGTAGGTGAGGATTTCCTAACAGGTAATTTTGACTGCATGCCATGCCAAAGGAGGAACATGCTGGCTATTGTCAACTGCTTTGTGTGAAGAGAGGCATGTGGCAACTCTGCAGCCTTTCTTTCTGATCTTTCTTTCAGTGAGAATTTGAGGGGATCACTGTATGTTAGCTGTGTGAAGCTTTGTGAGTACCCATAATGTTTGGCATAGCTCTTTCAGGCCCATGGTGTTAATCTTGGATTTCTGATCTCAGATGGGAGGGGGAAAAAAAAGTATATTGGCATCTATTTTTGAAACAGCAGATTACTTGTTTCCATTTGTCATCTTATTCTCATCTGCTCTTATATGAGCATAACTAGCATTGACCTACTTAGATACTGTTTCATTTACAGATCTGTGCAAGAAGGTTTTATATGCCTGATATTTGGTCAGGGACATTCTGTGATCCAGTGAAATCTTTCACTAGAGATTCTGCATGGAGCTCTGTACTGCTGAGAACAGTGGGGATTTAACCACTGACTTTAAAAAGATTGTCAACTCACCACAGGTTTTGCCACAGTATTCTTGTATAGTGTCAACTGTGTGTATGTGTGTAGTCAAACTGTCTGCCCATCTGTGTTTTTCAACCGGTTAAGTGATCTGCAGCCAAGGAATGAGGACACTGTAAATATTGGGTGCTGTGGGTAGCACATTTCATTGTTCTTTGTGCAGTGCAACATGATTCATTTTTATGCGGTGGAGATCCATTCCATCTGTTGTTTTATATGAAATGAGGAGAATCAAAAATTGTCACCCTGACAGTCCTCACCATCCAGAGCTTAGATGGACAGCAGTTAACTGTTCTGCAGTATGGCTCCAAACTCAGTTTTATAGCATGCTGATTTCAGGTATTAGTGAGGGTTTCTTTGGGAGTACAACTTTGTTGTGGTCTGTCAAGAGTTATTTTATAACAGGCTGGACAGATTATTAAATAATTGCAATTTTCTGTAATGTTCTAGGCTCGTCTGGAAGTGCACAAGTTTGGAATCACTGGCTACAAGAAGCAGGAACAACGCATATGGGAACAGGAGCGTGCTATCATGCTGGGAGCCAAGGTAATTGTCACTTGGTTTGTGCTGTGCAATCACCCAGCTGTTAACAGTGCAGGAAAGTGGTAAAAAACACCAGGGAGGTTTTGGCACTACTTCTTTAAAAGACAAGATTCCCTACCCTCACTCTTCTCCCACTTTATCCTTACTTTTACATTTTCTATTCTGTCTTGTCTGTTTTCTGTAGAAGTTTGAAAAATTAGTATGGTTGTGTTATTAGAGAAGTTGTATAGATGAAATACAACTGATTGGCATGGAAAACAACATTTACTAATTTTTAATCAGGCTATTCAAAACTAAATTGAAGGATTTTCTTTTTAAAGCTTCACTCTCCCAGTGAGTTAGAGGGAGAAAACTTTTCAGTTATATTTATCTTCAGTAGTGTAAAAGAAAAAAATAATTTTGTAGGTCTTTTTTGGTGGATGAGGAGGGGTATGGGTTTCCTTTCTAGCTCAGAGAATGTAGAAACCTTGTAGGACTGATAGAGCATAAACAGTCATTCTCTGCTCTCTCCACCAAGAAAGATACCGTTTCTGTGTGTTTACCTTGCATCCCTTAAGTCCCTTCCTCTCACCCAAGAGGAAATAAACTATTTCTAAAATACTGTCCATGCAAGTGTGTGAATATTTTTTTGAACCTATTTGAAAATTTCATCAGTGGTATCCCTCCCAATCTTTATTGCAGCCCCCCAAAAAGGAACATGTGAACTACAAGACTTACCAAGAGAAAATGAAAGAGAAAAAAGCAGCAAAGGAGGATGATAAGGGAAAGGTTCGTGTGACATTTTCTGTATTAAAAGGCAGCATGTAAGAGCTAGTCTAAGAGCCTGACGGATAACACCTCAGGCACAGCAGGAGTGCCCGAGCTTGACACCTGCTGCTCCCCATGGAATGGGTTCCTGGCTCCAGCAGGACTCATCTCATTGGTAAAAGCTGGTTGTGTGCAGTTTGAAGGTCAGAGTTAGGCTTGTGTTCTGGTGGGTTTTACTGCCTCAACCTTTGAGGCTGATAGACTGATGACGCAAAATCAGCAGGTTTATTTTTCTTACCTCTTAAGGGAAAAAAATGGCCTTCAATTAAAGTTTGTTGCATGTTGTGTAACCACAGAGAGCCAGATCTTCAGCTGGTTTTGTATCAGCACAATTCCGTCTAGGATCTTGCTCATTATTTAAAGCAAGGGTGAGGTTTTTGTTGCATCCATCCTCTAGCACAGCTCATCTGGCTCCGAGCCTACTCCCTGTCTCCCCATAGAGTCTTCTCATGTAGGTGGGAGCAGGCTGTGGGGCGGGTAATTGTTCTGTCAGCCTGTTTCCTGCCCCCCTCTTTCCCAGGGGACCTACTTTTTCTCCTCTGTCATGTGGCTCAAAGTGCATCCAATGCATGACCAGGCATGGCTGAACCCTGTTATTTGACAGGTACACTCAGTCAGGCGAGTAGACACGCCTGCCTGGTAGTAAGTTCATATTTTGACCCCAGGATCTGTCATGTGCCTAAGAAGCAAGCTTCTCTCCTTGTGCGCCTGGATTTGTGCCTCCGGATTTGTGCCTCCTCATGTGGCAGGGGGGGCAGCACATTAGTCATGAGAGGGCTGTACTTTCCATAAGGTGACAGGAAGGGTTCTGGGCACTCCTAGCAGTGCCTCCATAATGTGTTGCATCACTTGGCCCTGTCAGGAGGTCTCCCAGCCTGCTTTAAATGTCTGCTGCTCTGTGAAGCAAAGGATACCTCATGTTTTGTGTGCAGATGGTTGTTTAGTCAAGATGCACTGCTCCTTTTCCATTGAAATATGTATCTTTAAAAGCAGGAACATAAAGGTGATTCTCTCAAAAAGAAGAAGAAGAAAGAACAGAAGGAGAGGTGAGCTGTTTTTAACATGGTTAAAATTAACTTGCTTTTGTATACCCTTCCCAGGGTATTTCCCCTGTGTAACTATACACAGTCTTATACCAGAAGTCGTGCAGATCACAGTGGAAGGAAATTCTCCAATTGCAGAAGAACTTGATCACAAAATGATGACGTTGCTCTGTGTCTAGCAGTTTCAAGACGCTTTAGTTATGCAGCTTAACTGAAAATACGTCAGTTCTGCCCCAGCGTGTCTTAACACTGCAGGTGGAGGTGAGATGGATGGAAATCCCTGTGTGCGGCCCCAGAATATGCCACATGCTTAAAGAGCGCTTGCCCTAAGGTATAATTTCTGCAAAACACGAGCCACAGTATAGAGAGGCATGAAAGATGAAGTGGCATTCTTAGAGTGTAGCAGGTTCCCTGAAATGTACTCTTTATCTTCTTTCTCTATCCAGAAGTCTCTGTGTTTCTAAACTTTTTGAAATGTAAATCATTCTGTGATGAATCTGCTGCAAATTTTGAATGGCTACGCAGGTAATAAATATTCTGGGGTCATTACATGCTATGATTTCATATTCCATAATAACAAACACTGATTGCACAAATAGGTGACATTTTTCATCATATTAAGCATTTTCATGAGTTTCTGTTGCTTCTCTTATTTTTTTTTTTCTTTTTTCCTCTTCCTATTTCAGGAAGGCCAAAAGGAAGAAATCAGTGCCTAGCATTTGGCCTGCAGGACAAGTTGGAAAATTCAGAGATGGGACCTTGATTCTGCAAAGCTATGACATAAAGAAAATTAAATCATCTAAAGTTATCAAATGAACTTACGATAGAGTGAAATGGACAATATGCGTAAGATAGAATTCATGTTGCTACCAACACAGACTTACAGAGCCTCTCACCTTCCCGACATATCCTCATTTTTTTACTTTATTTTTTGTTGCAGGATTTCTATGTTCCATTCTGCCTTGGGAAAAATATGAGAATTTACCATTTTATAAATAAAAATAAGACTCTTTATTAAGAATGTTACACAGGCTATTTTTATTAGTCAATGCATGCTAAAGAAAGCATTTAACTTTCTGGAATCAGTTTATTTGCTATAAGTAAAATATTCATTTAATCATTCATTCATTTAATCCATAATTAATGAATTAAAATATACAGCTCTTTGCTTTCATCTGGAAGGAATATGGAAAAAGCAATACCTTACTTGCTCTGAAGCTGAAGTAGGTATTCTCAAACATTTATCATGCATACATCTATCTCTGTATCTTTATGAATTGTTAGTGGATTGTGGAAGTGCAGAACAGTGTTCCTGTCCAGGCAAACCTCTTAACGTTTCAAAATTATCTGCTTTGGAATGAAAATGAGATCCTCTGAAGTTTTTTCCCAAATTGAGTTACAGACTCAATTTATATCTCTGCAGAGATCTCCAAATAAGCACTGTTTCAAATGGTGGTTTGGTGGCTTGATTGGTTGTTTTTTGAAAATGGAACCATGTAAGACTGAGTCAAATGAGGCGTAGACACTCGATAACTACTGGTTTTTCATGCTTAACTCATGTTTATTTTGATCAGTGTTCTCATGTCTCATAAGGCTTTTCTATGAAATCTTTGTCAAAGCTGAAGTTTCAGTGCTATTTGGATTTCAGTAATTTGGTGTTTCTGTAAGAACAGTTTTGTCCTCTGTAGCTAAATATTTGTTTGATTTTAAAGTTGTGTTAGTAACCCTCCAAAATGTCCTCTCCCTCCTACCTCAAGATAAAGAAACTTCAAATATTTTAGGGGGAAGCAAAAACATGGTTAACTGTTAAATGACAGACAAAAAAGTTCATGTTGTGCTGTTTATAGGCAAGGTTATTTGGAGCTTGTTTTGAACACCTGTGAGAGATGACTTGTAACTCCCCAAAAACAGGCCCTGAGAGAAACAGGTCTGCAAGAAAAAACAGCCTGGGAGAGGTAAGGGATGGGGGGTAGCAGAGGACCTCTGAGCCGAGGAATGTCTCAAGCAGTTGCAAGTAGTGAAACTATAGTCATGGGGTGGATAGTGTAGAGTTTGGATCTGATAAGGCTGCCTGGACAGCACAGGGATGCAGCTGGAGAAGGGAGCTCTGTGAAGGCAGGATGATTCTGCTCTGCTGCATCTTGTAAAGTTTCAAGGGCCATCTGTTCAGTGAATGACCTTGGCTTCATTATCCAGAAAATGCATATTAAAGTTGACACCCCTGAATATGCTAATAAAGATTAACAGGATCGTGCTAATTACATGATCCCATGAAGCACCCTACCCCTCTCCATACATGGGATACATAGGTATGTGGGTCAACCAATGGTACGGACCCAAGGAAAGTGTGTGTAAATTGAGGGCAGGGTGAGGAGTGAAATGGAGGGAAGAAAAGAAGACATGAAGAAGTGAGGAAGATGGATGCATCCCTGACAAACTCAGATGGGACCAACGCAGGAACCCAGGCTGGTGTTTGCTATTTTTCTGTTCTCTCTCTCCATCTCCCTCCTTTATTTTTTTCCTTTTTTTTTTTTATCCCTTTATCCTCGCTACCATTAAGTGACACAAGGCATACTATATCTATTACCATAACTGGTTACATATTTACCCAATTACTGTGTATCCAACACCGTTGTCCACTCCATTGGGGATTTACTAATCTAAGTCACTTGTCTCCCTCATCTGAGTGGGATGTGATAACACCTCTGGCAGTGAAGCAGGTATGAGAAGGAAACCAGCCCTTACTGGAGAAAGTTCTCCCAAGTGTATTGGTGAAATTCAGCATACCCCTGTGGGCTGGAGAAGAAAAGCACACTTCCTGGCTGCCACCTGGGAGCCTGAGTAAGGTGATATCTAAGCCCAAATGAGCAATGAGGTCTGTGTCAGCTTGCAGCTAGTAACAAGAAGAGCAGCATAATCCTCTTGCCAAACAACAGTATCAGAGGCTGCCCCCTCCACAGGATAGGAAAATATGCTGAAGTAGGGAGAGCCACACCACAGAAAAGGGATGCTTTCTGGTGTGCTCCTTCCCCCACACCTCCCACCTTACTTTCAGATCCTTAAGAAATGCCCTGTCAGAGGACTAAGAGGAGGATGAGGTCCCAGAGGGAATGAGGTAGGTAAAAAGAAGGGGGTGTTTCTGGAGCCATTTGGGAAGAGGTGTGTGCAGAGTTGGGTTGCTAAATACTGTCATTGTGTTTCATGATTGCGTGATTCAATTTCTGCTTATTCAGTATTGATTGTTGATTCAAATTGGAATTGATGATGCTATCTGGTTACAGACTTAGAGAAATGTCAAATCACGATTGCATGTGAAGGTGTAATCACAAAGCAGAATTGAGTACAGTGCATCAAGACTTGCTGAGGCAACTGATGGGTTTTGGATGTTGTGGCTTAACCTATATCTTTTAATTCCTGGTTAATCCTTGAGCTCAGTTTTTCACTATTCACTTCTAGACAAAGATTTGTTCAGCTGACTTTGGGTATAATATGTTGTGGGAGTTTGTCCTCAATCAGCTTTGGTAAGTTAAAGGGTTCACTTTCCACCTTCACAGTTCCCAAAAACTGTTTAGGAGTGAAACATGGTCAGAATAGAGTGTCTAATTTTTGTAGTTCTGGTCTCAAGCTCTGTTAAAGAAGAGTTGAAGGAAATTCGAAAATTCAGTTCTTATAAAGTTGAAAACCAAAATGCCAAGCTGACTTAGGGAGAAAAAAACAACAAACAAACCAAACAAAAAAAACCAAAAAACAAACAAAAAAAAAGCTTATTTAAAATTTTGCATTTTCTCACTCATTGAACTTTGCTGTGTATACATTATGAAGGGTTTCTGTTGTATGGTGATAGATTGCTTTTTTGTATCAAACCACCAAGGTAATTTGAGCTGGTCATGCTACATCCTTGTAGGATGCTGTTCTCAGGTAAACACGGTACATTCAGTCCTATGTTGTTACTAGCTGCATTAACAAAAATGGTAACAACTGACACTTGGCAAAAAAACTGTTGAGGACCTGTTATTCACCTGGTGTATCTCGGGACTGGTGTGTGTTAGTAATTAACAGAGTATATAAGCGTATATTCAGGCAGCAGGCTGTGTTGCTGTTGGAGCATGTGCTGATACACAAAAGCCAGTGTTGACTGAGTAACTGATAGATTATGGGCAAGGGAGAGCAGGGACCATCTTATTTTGCCCTCTATCTGCAGTTGAATAGAGGAATGAGGGATAAAGGAAGAATGCAAGGATTTCTCCTTATCTGTTTGCTTTCACGTGCCTTTTTTTCTGTGACAGCTTTATTGCTGTTTCCTCATATGCTAAAACTACTGTGATTATCTTTCCTCTCAGTCAAACCCTTTGCCATGAAGGAGTTGATGCCAAGTTGTCGTCTCTTAGAAGGGGGGAAAAAAAAAAAAGCCTTGATGGATGGTGTCTCCACACTTGTCCACACTTACTCCTGATTGTTTCCTTATTGCCTGGGTTTCTGTTTCTTACTCTGGTGCTGCTGTTAGTGTGTTGGCATGCTTTATTCTGCTTTATTAACAGACATTTATGAATGTCTCAACTTCAATAAGTGCCTTTTTGCAGGGGCTGAGTGTGCTGCCTCTGTAGCATTGCTCAGTCCCTCACAAGGCATCTGCTTTATGGAGGTGTGCAGCTACAAGATTATATTTTAAATGCCACTTGAATGTAATTTTAAAACATCTTTCAAAGTTTTCTCTTTCTTGCCCTGACATGCTTTCTGCCCAGTCTGACTTTTACGCTTACGCAAAGGCCTTTCCAATCAGATCCTACTGGTGTTGCAATAATTTCCAGGCTCTGCTTACCTGACTGTCAGAATCTTCTGGAGACTGGGAAATCACTCAAAGTGTCTAGGGTGGATTGGAGCTAATAACACATTCTCAGGTCCTTTATGACCAACACGAACTGGAGCTAATGGCATGGTGCTGAGAGAGAGGTGTTTCATACCACTGAATCCAGGCTATATATGAGGTTGAGGCACAGATGGTTGCTCCAATGGAGGACTCGGCTTTCTCCAGCTACCAGATTATTCTTGACTGTGGTAATGAAGCAGGTATCAACAGCTAAGAGTTCAGCATGCATCCTTCATGACTGCATTACATTATGAAATACCTTTTTTTAAATAATCTATAATAATAAATAGGGTACTGATGCTGAATTTGTTGGCAATGTTTTAAGAATTTATTTAGAAACTGTAAAACAGCATAAACTCATATGTCTGGTTTTCCAAAAGGGCAATAATAATAATAATACACAAAAGTTTTAGTTGGACCGAAAGACAAAAAGCAGTTTGTTTCCAATTCAAAAAATACAAACATTTGCTACAGGTACAAAATTATAAAAAGTTTGTATTTTCCTCTTGATCTGCTGACAGACACATACAGCAGAGATGTATATTTCACCAGCTTCAAATCCATATAAGCTATGGGAAATGGCAATAAAGAAAAAAATGTCGTGGTTAAGAAGAAAACGCAGAAACAACATCTCGTCTTTCATTTAACCAGAAGTGAACACCGTTATCTTATTCCTTTGCACTTTTTTCGTTGCCAACATTTAAATTAGTATTATTCATGCTTCATATAACAATCAGAAATAATAGCAGGTTTACCTCATGCATTTATTTTTAATATTCATCACATAATGTCTTCTCACCATGCTACCTAGAAAGGTTAGTGTTTTTACTGACAACATTTACAGGAGGTGGAGGATGAAGGAATGCAGTTGGGATCCAGGAATATTTCAATCTAGTGCTTCATGAGAAGATGTTAATAAATCTTCCAATTAACATAAAAAATAATTTTGTAATTCTGCTCGGATCTGTTTGCAATAACAAATGTAACAAAAAGGTTGCTTAACAGAAGGGGAAAATGCTGCTGAGTGCCTCTGCCAGTAAAACGCATGTCTGTCTCTTGTGCAAAGGTGCAGAAGCCCCGCACGTCTTGTCTCTGTTGCTTGCATATGGGCTTCTGCATGTAAGATGGATTTGTGCTTCAGGCTGCCACTCCAGTTGGTTGTGTGGGTGCAGCGTTCAGTAATGCTGGGTGGAGAAATTGCCAGAAATGTTGTCAGTAAAAACCAGAAGCAGCTCAGGGTTTTTTTTAAAAAAAAAAATATTTAAAAAAAAAAAAAAAAATTTTAAAAAAAAGACTCTCCACCTTTGTTTGGTAATTTTCAGTGACAAGTGCCCTTTATGTTTGCAATGTGGCTGATTTGTTACCATAACCTGTTGAAGGACTTGAAAGTGTAATCTTCTTTCCAAAGTTGATCTAGCCAAGATTCTTGGGGTTTCCATATTATCTTGCCTGGTTCAAAGTTGAATTGTTGACTTTGCTATTTAAGCAGAATGCTGTAAAGGTGATAAGGCCTGAGATGAGGTCTAACACCTCTCTTTTCTCATCTTTCTGTTTGTGAGCAAAGGATGTACCAGATGGCACCAGAAAGCTACTGTTACCAGGTTTGCATCCTTTCTCCCAGGAATGGGTAATTGAATGGTCCAGAAATGCACCACCTCTTGTTGGCAGTTGCAAACACGGTGTTTTCCATGTAGTGGCAGCTTAGCCTCGATCTCCTCTCTCTCTTACCTTAAGTAATGTTATTATGTAAGAAAGAAACAAAGAAAAGCTGCACCTCTCATTTCTTCTTGCTTTAGAACAACTTGGAAACCAGAGTATTGGGTGCTCTCTGCCATCTTTACTAACTACACTTTGGGGAAAAATAAAATAAAAGCTTACGCAGCACTATGACAGAACTCTATCACCAGCCAAGAACAAACTACAACAATACACTATCATGGCATTATTTACAACATGATGGAACATTATGCATATAGTAAATTACATTTTAATACTTTTCCTCTTAAACTCTGATATATGTAAGCTTATGCTTTTAAAATTTTATTTATTTTGTTCAGTCCAATATATTTTCCTTTATGTATCTTAACTGAATAGGCAAGTATAGGAGGTGACAGTACTATTTGCCTATCTTTTCTATGTTTTTTAGAAGCCAAATTACTTTTCAAATTCATGATACATCACAGTATCCTGCTGTCCTTACTGACATTTATTTTATAGCACATACCTTTCCACAACAGAAGTACTAAGGGATTGTCAACTAGGCCTGTGCTCATATTGACATTGTCTTAGTAAGAGACTTTCTTGTGAGCTTTTTTTTGAGTTGATGGGGAAAAGAAGGGAGGGGAAATTTTGTAGCATTGCACGCCTTCGGAAGTCTGACAGTGCTCCTGATGGCACTGCTTCTGTTTGTTCCCACTAAACTTAGCAGGGCAATCTGCAGAGCAAAGAGCCAGGAAGAAGGTTCACAAGGGTAGACGAAAACTAAGACCCCCTTGTTGCTCTGTAGAACAGAAAGCTTGCCTGCTGTATTTATTTAGCAGCTGTGCAGAGGTTCCAGATTGGTGTGTGCAGAAGTTTATTAGAGGAGGGCTTGTTTGTTTGTGGGTTGGGGGTTTTTTGTTGTTTTTTTTAATATTAAGTCAATTTACAGCTACCTTGTGTGGTCTCTGTACCATAGCAGATGGGACTCATCCCCATGCAAAAGTTTCTGCTCTCCTGCTTATAAGGAGCAGCATGGCCTCTAGGAGCAGAAAAATCCCATGAAATGCAACTCTGTGTGGGCCCAGGTGCCAGAGATGCTTTTCATCCCAGAGAGCTGTTCAAATACCCCAAGGAATCAGAAGGAAGCAAGAGCATCCAAAGTGGTCCCCTTGGTTATCTATGCTACTCATCAGCCCCCCAGGTTCTCCCTGGACAGTCAGCAACAGTTTCTGCAAGGACCATAGTACTAAAGGCTGACTCCCTCCTAAAGAAGGGATTTGGAGGAAACAAAAGCTGGCAGAAGTGATGCTGAAGATGAAGAACATGCAAACTGCTGGGTTTATGAGACAGACCTTGTGGGAGTTACCTGCAGAGAAGCAAACTACCTCCACCACTCTCAGGATGGAAGTGCCCCACTTCTTCCCACCTGGTTCTGTTTTGCAAAGGGAAAATTCTGCTCTATGTTCAGATGGCCACTGCCATCTGGATGCTCTGTATAAATATTCACATGTGGAGTAGGTAGTTTCCTAGCATAATTCTAACTACTTAAGCATTATTTCTGTTAATCAAACCATCAAAATGTAATCCAGCTGAAGTCATGAGACTACACTCTATTGGGGTAATTGTTTTACTGCTATGAGTCATGACAAACGCAAGCCCTTTAATGTGTACACAATCAATATATACAACCACTCTGTTTAGTTTTTGACCTAGTTTAAATTAGTCTTACTAATGCAGGTTACCTACTTCTAACTGTATTCCTTTTATTTTATTTGCATTTCTGCTAGGTTAAAAGAAGACTGTAATGGTAGCTAGTCTCTACCCTACTTTTATGAATGTTATAATGTGTAGAGGACAACAAATGAGCTTCTCTACAGCTCATGTATGTCCTTACCTACCGTCAGTATTTCCATTAGAAATTAGTAACCTGTATCACTCACTGTGTTCTCCCCAAGGTATAACACACCAGGAACTGATACCAAAGCAACTATGAAAACCAAAACCAAGTACTGCAAACACTTCTAAAACCCATTCAGAATTAATTTTAAATACCTGGCAATAGTTGAAGATTGGAAAGATGTAAATTCATTTGAGTTTCCTTCACAGAAGCTGGGAGTAAAGACAAAGGTTCAGTCCCAAAACAAACAACACCCTTTTGTTTTTAATGCAACAAGTGAAAGTGGAGTGCCTTCTCTATTAAAATTATCACAGGATGTTTCCCAATATAAAAAACTATGTGCAACTTATGTACATACACAGTATTCCCATACACTGCTCTGACTGGCAATACTCAAAGCCAGTGCTATGATTACAACTGTTAGGTTTATAGAAGAGCACACTCAAGAGGAAATTAGGGATCTGGTAGCATTCTAGCTGAGGTAGGTTAAAACAGACCCGCTAATTAGAAAATCCTGCATGAGTTCATATGGTATTAAACAAAACTGAAAAATATAACACAGTATGTCTCTGCTATTCTTTAAGAAACCAAGATGAGCATATCACAGTTATTCCAATGTCTACAAGTTTACTAATACAATCCATTCCAGACTTTGAAGAAAGTACTGTTGCTTTCCCACTTAAAAGCTTACATTATTTTTTCCCCATCCACAGTTTTATTTCCTATTTCAGTCCTGACATCACTGAAAAGTCACTACTGTTGTGCAGGTGAGGTGGGCTACAGGAGGGTTGGTTGGTTACAGTCAGCGTGATGGCAGACTGCTTTTTGTCTGTGCAATACGCCAGGACCGTTTCATTCTGGGCTGCCTCCCCCTCCCCACAACAGCTGTGAGGTGGGATGACCCCAGGGAGGACCCTGGCCATTCTGCCACAGGGAAGCCTTGCCAGCACTCAGCACTACCTGAGTGATGTGCTCTGGCCAGAGACCAGAAGTGGCCCTGCAGCAGGATGCTTGAGGGCTAGCAGGCTGCCCAGAGGCAGGTCTGGGCTGTTTGTCCTGTGGCTGTGGTTTAATGCAAGGCAGTAAACTGGATTTTGGTTAGAATATTTGTTCTCACATTTAATAATTACACATCTGATAACAATATGCGTGTGTGTATACGTATGTTTGGAAAGGAAAATTTGTATAAGCAGCAGGATTTAAAAAAGAAAGTAAGTGGGATTTAAGTTTATGTTTTTCTTGTTTTATAGCACCACGCTTATGCAGGATTACGTGACAGTCTGAGATGTCATGGGCTCACACAGTCTGCTGCATCTTGTCCTTACACATTATCGCTGTACACACACACTTGCATATGTTAACTGGGTTCAGAGAAAAAGTACACATACACCAATCAATGTGTTTTCTGACAACAGCACACCAGTGACAGTGCCATGGCTGTGGGAAAAGTTCCCTGTCAGATTCCAATTGTCATGGGCAGCACCTGAAACAGCTGCTTGTTTTCATGGGAGACGCCAGACACAGGTAAGTCTTGGAAAAGATTTATGGCCCAATCCAGAAAAATTCTTAGAGATGGATTTCACATTAATGCTATGAATCTCTTTCGCTCAAGTGCTTCATCTAATCTAATAGAAAATTAAGGCTTCTGATCTCAAAGCTACATTGGAACTACAACTACCCAGGGTTTATCAGGATCAAAGCTAGAAATGGGATACTCTGCATGTGCCATATCTAAATAAAACACTTATCAGTTCAACTCAAAGGGGTCTCTCCTGCGCCATTTTTCAAAAATTGTGCTGATAACCACAATCAGATCTTGTGTATGTGATAGTCCCCATATCACACCTAAATAACAAACACTAAAATGTATCAAGGGTATTTTTCTCTCTGCTTTCCATATCTGAATCCTGCATGTATCACAGTGTTAGCTAAAATGAGTGCAACTATTACATGACAGTATTTGGAAACTAATCTTACTCTCATTGACGATAACAAGATAAATTCTGCCATTGAATTCTAGGGGAACATTATCCCATAGCTTACTGCAGTCTAGAGCCAGAAGGAATAATTAATGGTCATTTGAGCCCCTGAATGTAATGGACAACCAGGAATTCTTGAGCACACAACCTCCACTTCAGCTGTCAAAATACATGCTTTCTTGATGTAAGGACTTTGGCAAGGAAAACCAGTTCAGCTACTGGTAAATTGATCCAACAGCCACCGTCCTTCAGTCTTAATCTTACCCATTTTTTTCTGGCATCCATAATATCTTTTAAGCACAAATCCAGACATGAGAGAGAAAATACACCCATTTAAGCTTTTGTTTTATAAATGTATGTGTGTGTGTGTGTACATGTGTGTACATATGTATGAAATTCAGTGTAGATATGTTCAGGTACCCATCTGCAGCTGAGTGCCAGTTCAGTGGGTATGCTTGCTATGACTGTTAAATAAAAAATGGAGTGGCCTTGTTGTAACCAGCAGACTATTTGGTGATCAACATGCTGTACAATGTTTTAAGTCAGGGAAGAGAATGCTTTGTTACTGACTTACTGAAAAGTGCCAAATCACACTGAGAAATCTTACAGAATCCAGCACAGGGTTGGGCAGGGGCTTCATTAGTTGTTGGGCAACTTGGGCTGTTTTACACATTGTGGCACCTCCAGTCCCGTGTGCAGGGTCACCTGCGCAAAGAAGAAATAACATGTAGATTCAGAACTGGAACATCCTCAGCAGAAAGCATTTGTGAAGGCCAAGAGCAAGTAAATGACAGGGGAAGGGCCGTGGGACTTTGGGACCAGGTTTATGTCATCAAGAGTATTAATGAAGATGATATTGAGCCCCAGAAATAACCAAGACTCCTTCTCCCTCACCCCTCCTAACATCTTGGGGTCTAGAAGCCATATGTCCATATCTCTTGCCAAATCCAGACAGCAGTTGTAGGTCTCCAGCAGTGCTGCTTGCTAGATACAAGGTGGATGGCGCCATCATGTGAGGAACCCTGGGGTACTTCAGGACAGGGATCACACAGTGGAGCCCATATACTAAATATAAGCAAATCCTTTTACGTTTGCTGTCCTGGCAGGACAGAACGCAGGACATTTTAGTGCTTCTTGTATAACCTGACATTTCTACAAGGTCAAGGTTCCCACACAGATGTACCAGAGCACCACTCAACAGCAAACACAAGCTTAGTCTCAGAGTATCCCCCTGCTTCCTTGTTGGCGATGGTCTGCCTTAATTCAGTTGTGGTAAGAAGGTAATTTGTGAGTAAAAATCTGTGTTGAATATAGAAGTGAGGTTCCCGGAGAAGTGCCTGCATCTTTCACGTTGGTGCACCAAATACAATAAAGCTATGAAACATTCTTGAAAGATTTGGATGCCACCAGTAATGAATGCTAAATGTTCATGTACTGGTAAGGCCATACAAGGTTTCTGGTTTCAATCTGGGTGTTTTAAATGAGTGTTCCACCCTGACTGCATTGGTCCTGCTTGACCTAAGCTGACCTCCTTCAGTCCTCAGGCTCTTGTGTTTCCATAGGTTGTCCCTTATACTACATCCTGCTTCTAGCCATATGCATTTGTCTTGAAGTAAAAATGCATTAGATTTAAAGAGGACTCCTCCAAGAGAAGATCCTCTTGTGGCCAGAGAGCAATCTCCAAAATTCAGAAAGAGCCAGAGTGATGAACTGACTGGGTCTCCTCTGTTGCACAAATTCTCTGACCTATGTTGTCTTTGCTCTCCTTACCACTGTGCTGCTCACATTTCTGTCTCTTGCCAAAGTTAATGATCTCCAAACATAAGATCTAAGGAGGAATTAGGATACTCATGTTTTTTAGTCTAACTGGCAGAGGAAGCTTTAGCACCTTTCCGAGGGGATTGCTGCAGAAAAAATAGGTGTAGGAATTAGTGCATGTAGGTACTTTCACTTGGTTTTATGGCATTACTCCTCACATCTGTGAGGCAAGGCAGAAGGTCAGATGCAGTTTTCCAAAAAGCATTAGTAGCCTATGTGTCTGTCCAAGAAGGAAAGAGCTACTATCCATAGTGACTACCTACAGATGACATTAGCAGCCCCAGCAGCAATGCCTGGTAGGATACATTCTCCTTTAGATGAGAAGGGTAAGTGGGACTAAACTGCAGACCTACCTGGACGTTTCGATTGAGGCTCAGTGCAGGCATGAAGACACCTTCGATGTTTTCAAATGCAGGGGGCCCTTGCTGCTGCCCATTTATGTAAAAGGTCAGGTTGTGCTTGTTCAGATCCAGGAGAACACCAACGGTGGCACCTTTAGAAACTCCTCCTTCAGTCCTAAGGTACAAAGGGACCACACTGTTGGTGAAGGCAGGGTGCTACACCACCGCTGCTCTCTCTAAGACAAGGCAGTCTTACTAAGCAAAAGGAGAGCGGAGAAGCACTATGGAATGATTATCCCTGCAGCATTCCACAATGACTGATCCACACCTTTAACTGAAACATATGTACCACATTCATGGGAGCTTAATGGGGGGAACCTAAAGAGAAATTAGGTCCATGCCTACTCCAGCTGCAATCTAAGAGCTGAAAAGGGGTTCCAGAGCTAACAGGTCTCCTTGGCTGAGGACAGATGGGGAGGTGAGCAGGTCAGGTCAGTACTGAGCATGTGGGAGAGGAGTCCTGGAGACATCGCTCCTAAGATCATCCCTACTACAGTGAAGTGATGCACAGCAGGGAATGAAAAAGCAGAAAGCTGGTTTCCTAGGCATTCATTTCTAATCATTATGCCTGCTAACAGCTCAACAGTTAAGATTTCCAGTTTGAGTACTTACCTTGGCATCCCCTAAGGGGACCCAACTTTCCAGAGACCAGGGAACCACCAGAGGTACAACAGACACTGGTTTGGGGGAGGAAGGGAAGGTGGGGCTGGTCAGGAACAAGCACAGCTCCCTGACTGACAAGATGCTCAGATATAAGACTCGGAGTTGTCTCAAGTGTGCAGGCATGGTTATTAATACCAGCGATAATTGGTTGTGTCAGGAGCAGCTGCTGAGAGCTACTGTGGTATCAGAGCTTGGCAGGACAGACTTAGCCAGTCATTACATGCTTGAGTGATTTGACATTAATGCACTTTGATTTGGGGGTTAGTCAAACCCAGTATTACTTTAAAGAGCACTAAGCAAAAAAATCTGCTAGATATGCAGATTGGCCACAGGCACTGCTACTGTGCTAATATCATGGGGACTCTGCGATGGATTTGCAGCCTGACACAATTTGTTCAGGGTAAATCAGATTTCAAATAATTTGCAGTAGGAAAGGAAGCAGCTGTCTTGTCCCACGCACTCCCCTCAGGCACACAACATTCAGAAGATTAATGCAATTTTAACATAAAATTTATCACAATAGGTAGGCAAAACATCAAAGGGTGGGTGGGGAGGGGGGTGGAATCAAATATGATTAGGAAGAATATAGTGCAGGGTAAGAAATTTCGATCTTGTCCACTAGGTGTCATAAACCGGTTTCCTTTAGATTAAATGCAGAAGACGGCATTTCCTCTGAAGGTAAAGGGAGTTTAATCTGTGACATAATAGTGTAGAATACTATTCTGACTTCTCCATCTTAAACTCTTCAAACAATAACAGTATGGCTGAGAATCATGAATTGGCTCTGAGATGTGTTAGATTTCAAACTTCACCATTCTCAGGTTCCTTTTATTTTCTTTCTGGTCCTGTAAGCATTTATAGGGTTCTCTTTGAGCTCTTATCCAAAACCAGAAAGTAAATTACTTTCCAACAAAAGTTACAATGCTGACCTATCCTCAGTATCTCAGTATCTAGTCTGTTTTTATTAAAAGCACTCAATCATAAAACTCATGATGAAGTTGTGGGAAGCAAGAGTACTATGATCTAGAGCTATTTACAAATAGATTACATTATTTTTTTTCTCTGTTTAGGAACAGCTTTGATTGTAGGGCACCATGGTTTATATCCTGCAGTGTTTTAAAATAGATTTTATGACATCCTTTTAAATGACATTGATTCTCTTAGGGAAAGAGAAACAGCAACTTTGCCTTTTTGAGATTATTAGTCTTTCCTATATGATAAGCTAATTTGCTTCTTGTGGGCTAATTAGCTGTGTGCTGCACAGTGACATTGAGTGACTCCTCTGCAGCCCCCAGGGACAGCCCTGCTGAAGCAGGGAGGGATGCTACCTGCACAGCCCTGCCGAGGTGAGTGCAGGACCCATCTGAGGCTTCTCCAGGAGCCACAGGGGCACGGGGGCAGAGCAGAGGGATGGGGACCTCACCCTTCCTTCCTGCCACAAGTAGTGCAGGACTCCAGCAGGTAGATTGCCCCATTCTTCAGCCACCACCTCCCCACAGTGAGCAACCAGCCTTGGCAGGACAAAGCCAGGTCAGAGGCAAGCAGGAGCACCTTGCTGGGCTGCTACCAGGGAGACTGGACTTTTCCTGAGGCTGAACAGCTTCTCTTCCCTAGCATCCCATGATTTCATTAGGAACAGTACCCTGAGGACTCCAGAGCTTTTTTGGACTACTGTCATAGTCGCTTCCTTTAGGAGAAGAGGTGTGAGAGTCCAAGTTTCATGAGCAAACTTATGCGAGACATTTCCTCACTCTTCTGTACACCATTTAGGCAGTATTACAGGATAATTTTTCTAACAAAAGTCTTAGTTGCAATAGAAGAAGCCAGCTAGCTCAAGAGACTCAAATTGATGTTGCTCTCTCCTGGTACGCTTGTGTGGCAGCATGTAAAAAAGCTGCTGCTTTCCTGTAATGCATTTTTAAAACTATTTAATGACAATTATACCAGAGGCCCTGAGTAATCTGCAGGCCATGTAAAAGGAAAAGACAACTATTTGTTACAATACTTCTTCAACAAATACTTAGCTTTCATTAAATGATAATCCACCTTTGAAGATATGCACCACTCTTTCTTTATTTCAAGTAAATCACACTTCTCACACCTCTTTTCTCACAGTCCTGCACCTTTTTATTTTCACATGCAGTGGTAAGTCCTGAGTGTGGAAGTGCTGTGTGGAAGCCTGGAAGATCGGAGTACACATAGGGGAGTTTGGCTACTATGAACAATGTCACTACCTGTGTTATTCTGTTATTCTAAGATGTTTTCAGCAGCAGCTTGGACAATATGCAGAATAGGACTGTATGGATTGGCTTGAGAAATTAAGAACAGTAGTAAGCTCCACTTATTGAAAAATAAAGCTTGACAAGTTACGAACACTTCAATAAACTGAAGAATGTGTTTTACTCTCCATTAACAGTATTTTAATAATGAGCTTTACAGTAACTTAACAAATGTCTATTGTCAAGGACAGTATTTATCAGTCAATTATAACCTTTTTCTGAGATGAAAACCTGGCCTTGAGATCTCTGAAGTCAGGGAAGAGTCTCCCCTGATCACAAGGGTCTTTAAGACTACACTCCAAATTCCCTTGATTTTGACTTCCCACTATCTTTCAGCAGAAAATATTTCAGTGTGTCTCTTTCTTTACATAACCATGTAGTGGCTAGAGTACTGCCTACAGCACTAGATACTCCTGTTCTTGGGAACTTTGCCAAGGAACAGATCTATTGCAATGAATGCCAGTGCCTCTTAGCAACAGGCATACATCTCTGGTGTGAACTGATTATTTCCAGGAATAGGCTGAAAGCTACCTCACAAAGCTATATCCCTGCCCTAAAGTGTTTTCTTAACCAGTTTGCTCAACTGATTCTCAAAGGTTCCCTCTGGTTTTGATAGCTTTAGAGTCTTCTGTTCATGCTTTTTCTTCTAGCATTACAGAAGTCATGGTAGTTTTCAAGGATGTAGACAGGTCCAATTTTGCGTGCTGTGAGTGAAAGGAACAGGGAAGTACTCTAAACATGACAGATCCCATAAATAGGTCCTCCAAGCTCCACCTCATCTTATCCTTGAAGCTAACAATTTATTTATTTATTGTCCCAATTTATTCTCATGAAGATTATGAAGCATTAAATGATTACTAAGATAACACCACAATAACATTCAAGAGGCTAAAAGCTGACAATGAATTTCCTTTGGACTGTGATACTGTGCTGCCATGCACTTGTTTCCAGTGGGGAAAAACAACTAGGCAGCAATAACTGTTTCCACAAGACTATTAAGCTAATGAGTTAAAAAACTGACCTACTTGACTGTGACAGTTAAAAATACAATGCTTAGACCTAATTTCATCGAAGCGCATATGATTTCATAGAACTACATGTCATTTATGAGTGTATTTCACTTGAACAGACATTCCATGGGATCTATCCATGCCTTGGTTGTGCCTGCAAAGCCTTTGTGTGTTATCTAGTAAAACCTGGGAAACTATCATCAACGGAAAGCACTTTGTTCCCCTGTTTAAGCAGGATGATTGGAAATCCAAAGTGCTTCCATTGTTCATGCTTCCCAGAAAAAAAAGCTTTTGCTTAGCTCCTGTGATGCTTGTTGGGAGGAGCATGCTGAGGACCAAAATCATAAAATAGGTTTCTGAGACAGTAGTACACAGAATGGTTGCCAGCTTTTTTCCAGAAAACATAAGCTGTTTCACAGAGCATTAAAATTAATATAGCTTAACATTACTTCTGCCCAAATTGAATCAAGATGTTAAAGGGACAGAGAACATTTTGATATATTTATTATACTGATCTTATTTTACTCTACATGTCTTAGGACATGATCTAAGGTCTTCGGAGCCATGGAAATTATTCCAATTGACTTCAGATAGCTTTTGATCCAGCTACAAGATTCTTCCATCTGTCTGTAAGGAACTGCAATATCAAACTATGCTTCAAACAAAAATTCCCAGAAATTGCAGTATACTTACTTAAAATACAAGTATGCTTTAGAATATAATTGACTAATCAACAGGACACATTACAACCAGCTTTAGGATACAGTACATGTGGGCATGAACTTAACTCTTTAAGGAGATAATACCTGCATTTGAGCATTTTAAAAATCACTGCAAGCCTTTCTTTTAATCGTTTGGTATAACAAAAACAACACCTGAGCTAGTGAGTGTGGAAGACCTGCTGGGACTGTCAGTAGAAAACTGAATCAAAATTGATTCCTGCTCTGCCACAGACCCACTATAGTGACTTGGTCAGTCACTTCATTCATATATCAATCTCCCATCGTGATAGATTAGTTATACAAATACACCATTTTTTAAAATAAGCAAGGGATTTATGATCCTAAATCACACTCTTCAGTGGAGATCTGCTCCTGTAGTACCCAGCTGACCTTCAGCTAGGGCTGACCCTCTCACGGGACATGGAGGGAGAGCAGTGCAGTTCTGCTCTGGTGATACCCCAGGGAGCTTCAAGCGAAGTTGACCATGTCTCCCCTACACAGACCAGCATCACATCAAGGAAACAGCCAGCACTAGGCAGAGGTAACCATCACCAGCGCTGAAAGCCACACAACCATGTCAGCACAACACTGGATCTATGCTGATATGCATTGTCTCTGTGCGATCCATCCTTGGAGATAGATTCAGTTAGAACGCGTCTCCCCACCGCTCTGTTGTACAGAGCACACAGAGCCTCTGAGTGGTGGGAGAAAGAGGGGTTTGGTAATGATGGCTCAGGGGCATTCTGAAATCCTCCTTTGTGCAAGTCAGTTGTAAACTGGTTGAGACATTTTTCAAAGCTCTTCAGTACAATGGCTCAGTTGGATGGAAGCTGTCACTTAGCCCTCACTGCCAAAAAGCCCCTTATGTCCAGATCACCCGAGGTGTGACCTACAGCAATACCTTTAATCAGCTTTCAAGACTGGCAATAAACACCTGCATTTTGTACAGGCAATCACCAGTGCTTTGCCTAATTACTGTGCAACTCTGCAGTCAAGATTCCTCCTAAGAAAGAGAATCAACTACCTTTCTCCCTGTACTCCTCCAGCAATGAGAGAGAAATCCCGCATTCTAGTGCGCTGCACTCCTCTCTGCTGAGATGCTGTGGGTGGGACATGCTATAACAGTCTTAAATCACATCAGGGTGAATTTAGGCTGAATCTTAGGAAAAAATTGCTAACAGTGAGGATAACAAACACCAACACAGATTGCTAAGGTGCAATCACTGCCACTAGTGATTTTTAAGAAGGAATAAAACAACTGCATTTATCAGGGAGATGACCAGTGGCTTGCTGAGACCCCTGCCTCTGATGCAAAGCAGAAAAAACAATCAGTAATGAGAAAAGCATGCAAGCGGCGCTTACCGATTGGTGTGAGAATTGCAATGCATGAACCAGCTGCGGTTGTTGTCAACGTACATGGCCCATGCCTTGTCGTCCTTGCCTAGCATCATGTCCTTGACAACGTTAATCCTGGCAATACCAAAGGCTGGATCTGGATGGTTGTCATACCGGTCCACATGCAGTTCCCAGTAATGAATGCCCTTGGAGAAGGCTGCTGTGCCTAGAACAACTCGGTCATCGTAGCTGTTGCAGGTGGCAGTCTGGTTGTCATTCGACAGCACTATGTCTCTGTGAGCTGAGGAGGGGTCAAAGGTGAACCACGCCACTGTGGAAGGGGAAAAGGAAAGGCAGGAATATGGCAGAATGGGCTGTATTCAAGTATCATCTGCTTTACTTCAATTGGGAGAATGAAAGTCTGCCTTCCTAAAGACCCCACTACACCTTCAGGTAATAAAGACAATCTTTCCTGGTTACTGTAGGCAGCTACATATGATTGCTTTGAGCTGGTGCCCTGCTGTTTCTCAGCTCTTTCGTGCATTGCATTATCTGTGCTTGCTCCTCTGAACATAAGCTGCTATGGGCAGTGACTTTCTGTTCTCACACAGTAACAAGTCACTGACAAGACAAAGGCTTCTCCATGATATGGAAACTGCTCACACAGGTGAATTGGTTCAGGATCACCTTTAATGGAAATGAGTTCCACTGTGTCCATGATGGTTAGGACTGACTTCACTACTTTATCAAAGGGAGAAAAAAAAAAGGAAAAAAAAAACCCAAAAGCCAGAAAAAGCTCTTAAAGTATAAATATTGTATACTGGCCTATTTTGGCAACACAGCATAAAAGTTTAAGCAATAATAGCATGCATGTCTTGATTCATTACAATATCATTAAGAATGATGAACTTCTTGTAATGCCCACACAGATGTCAAGTATAATTACAGAGGAACAAGCATGAATTCCCATCTCTGTATTATCAAACCTTGCTGTGAAATTGAAGCAGTAGTGAAAAAAAGGCAAATTCCAAAGATATATGGAGAAGTGGAGACAGTGGCACAAAAATATCCCATGTGTTGCATAACTGCTTTTGTATACTAAAGCAAATAAGAATCTGTTAGACCTCAGACTTCTACAGACAAATAAAATTGCATGATTTGTAACCTGAAGTGTTACTGATAATGGAAAAACCCCAAAAATGCTAGGAGAGCCCAGTCCCTGTGCACACTCAGTTCCTGGCCTCTCCATGAAGCTGGTCTAAAATCTCTGCACCAGTAAGTGCCAAAGATATTAATGGGTATAAAGGGATGCAAGTGCCCTGCCACTGAGACCTGCAGCTTTTCTCTTAGAAACTGTCAAAAACCCAACTCACCATCTGATGTCTGTAAAATAACTGTCTTGCTGTAAGGACCAACTCCCGATGAGTTGAAAGCTTTGACTCTTGCATTATAGGTACTGTTGAAATGAAGGCCATCGATGGTGCAGAGAGTTTCCTTGCCAACATATACTTCCTAAACATTAAAAAAAAAAAAAAAAAAAAAAAAAACTTGTGATCACGTTAAGACTTCTAAATGTAAGCTACAAGCAACAGCTTCACATTGCTTCCCAGGATGTAGAAGTTACGCTGTTATAACACAGACAGCTACAGCAGTGGAGACATCAGGGATGGTTAGCAGTGGAGATACTAAGATGAAGATGAAACTGGAAGGGTACAGCAATAAAGGGCAACACAGAAAGATCTTAATTTTTATCCTCTTTTCTTAAACATCTACTCCAAAACACTTTTGGATAGTAGTCCCAACATCTGACCCACCACAGCCATTCTCATGGCCATTTATGTAGGATCAAAAAAGGGTATGAGAAAGAATAAAAACCCGAAGTAAACACAGTTTTATTCTGTTGGAAAGATTGTCGCATGCCTGTGTGAAAATATAATTTTGAAACCTGCAAATACAGAGCCAGAAGAAACTGATCTCCCAAAGATTAGACTTGCATGCATCATATTATGAAACAGCAACTAGATAACAGAGACATCATAAAAGTCTGCAAAGATTTATTAAACAGCAAGCACTTGTGTAATGTGAAATATTTCAGCAGGAGGAACATCCAGGCAGACTAATGAAAAGGATCAGATTATACAGTCTATGATGAACAGAGAAACCTAGAAACACATGTTGTTGGAAAACTGAACAGAAAATGACAGAAAAGGAAAAAAATCCTGTCTTGGCAGCAAGTTGAAAGCCACGATTGCTTTCCACCTCCGACTTCTCTGATTCTGTGAAATCCATAGATCTGTGGTAGCAAAGGCCCCAAAGAGCTTAAGGATGTAACTAAGCAGCCCACTCAGGCCCCAGTTCAGTTAAGACTTTAGTATATGCCTAAGAGTAGCCCTGTTCATTAAGGCTCTTTGATATGAACCTAAAGTGAATTAAGTATGTGATGAATAAGAAATGGATTCCTTAAAGTTACAGCAGGTCATATATTTGTCCACTTTGCTACCATGGCAGCTGCCACAAATAACAAAATCTCTTGGGTCCTGAGTTAGCTGATGATCTTTCATGAAGAGAAAGAAGAGTTTTAATAGAATAGCTTAATTTATCTCCATGTTATAACATATGCTGTCATGCAAAAAGTTGTATTTGTAGAACAACTTTTACATTTTTTAATCCATTTCATATTTTTACCACTGTTCACTGCTTGTGTTTATTCAGATTGATGCTCTCTGCTATGATGGGAGACAAAAAACATTCTTTAAATCCAGCCATCAAATACTGATAAAGTGTAATCAGTGTTATTGCTTTCAGATACATAAGTCTTCATGAAAAGGGTCAGAAAACTCTTACTGAAATGGCATTGCTGAAGAGCCTGCAGTTTATCTTTCAGTGAGTAAAACTGAGGGCATGTCTACCACAGCAAGAAAAGTGTTCCCCTGAGAAGCTGTCACCCTAGATTTTTAAGGTTTTAGACTGGTTTGTAACTTTTTCAATCCAAAATCTTGACATGGCAGTGCTGGCAGTCCTAAAACCTTTGCCAGTTACAAACCTCCACACACAAATGGGCTTGGATATACACCATCTGAAATTTTGCTTATTCACAAGTATTTATTTAGATGTGAAAAGCACTTGAAAAGGTTTATCCAAGACACTGGGATTCATAAACACCTTGCTCCTAACTCTTCATTCATCACACACTGATAAAATTCTAATATTAACTATATAGGCACCTCCCAGCCGCTGTTCACAAAGCTGCTTTTCACACTTTCAGTAGTGGAGACCACCCTCTTCAAACCCATGTGAAATGGTACTTGGATCAAGGAACTGAGGAGACCGTCCAGAAACACAGTGTCCCCTTCAAAATGCCCTGCCAATATCGCTGTCTCTTCTAAGAAGGGGCATCCAAATCAGGTGCCTTTGCTGGCTATGGGTGTAGCAGTCTGGCACAGGGAAGCAGTTAGGTGGAACTGTGCCAGGCCATTTTCAGCTTGAGAAACCTTTAGGTTTCCAGTGAGGAGCCAGTTTGCAGCTCCTGAAGACATGCTGTCACATGTTTTTGGCAAAATTCCCCATTTTTGAAGAGAGCAGCTGTACTCCACACCAGATGCTTTCGAGGCACTAGTCCCTAGAAATGTACTGGGCCAGCCTGGTCCTGGAGCGACGGGAGCATAAAGCCTGCCCGAGGAGGAAGGGACACAGCTTCCAGCAGGACATGGCTGGCAAAAAGCTGACTGAAGTATTTCTGTAGTTTGTTTATTGGGATATGAAGAAAAGGGATGGGAGTCTATAAGTATCCCTCACCTGGAGCCAGGAGCAAGCAGTTGTGGCATCACCCTGTGGGTCTGGAAGGACAGCACTTGGGATGCCTTCCCATACTTACCAACCCCACTGCAGTGTGTCTGCGGAAAGCTTCCACCAACCTGGTCTCATTCACTGCCAGAGAAAAGATCTAGAAATCCCGTATTTTTATGCAGGATCCCATTTTTACTCAGAAAAACAGAAAAAAATGAGTTGCATTTCTGGACCAAGAATCTCAGCTGTTGAAACCAGGTGCTATGGACAGATGAAAGTAGGGGCTTCAAAGAAATCTCTGGTTTGTGGAACGAACCACTTTCAGCTCCTGTAGGCTAATATAGGATTTTCTGCTCTGGTACACTCCAGGGGGACGCCAAGGCCTTCTTTGCCAGAGCCCTAAGAATAACCTCAACCAAACCATACCCAAGCTGGGGGTCCTTCTACTAAGCAGCATTGCACTGTTTTCTACAGCCATGCCATGGAAGCAGCGATGTTTTGACAAGCCGTATCTTCCCTACCCCCTCTTCCCACCCTTGGACAGACACAAATCCATTATCTTGAGGAAACTCACATACAAAGAAACACAAATAAATGCTGAATGAAATTCTCACTCGGAATTGGCCACCATCTCCATCATCAAGTTCCAAGATATAACCCTCCACTGGGTTGTGGCTCAAAGGCGGCATCCTCCAGGCCAATGTCACACTGTTGTTTCTGGTGCAACACTTCTCCAGCTGCAGTAATGGGACGGGTGGCACTGTAACAGGAACTGGGTACAGATTAGTGTAACTCTGCCCTACCCCATTAGTCTGTGCCATGAGCAGTATGGGGACCTCTCACCTCCTTCCCCTTGCAGGGGAGTCAATATCCGTTAGGAAAAGGGCCCATTCCTTCCTTGAAACAAAAGGCAATAAAAATGTTATAACAAAATGTCATTATTTGGTTAGACAAATCATTTGGCTGAAATACATAAACAGCGACATATCTGGACATGCTTCTGGTGCCTTGTAAGAACTACAGTCTGGAGACCTCACGTCTGGTTTCCTTCTCAGGGGTCACTGGCTAGAGGAGTTTTTTCTCAAGTTAGAGCACTTTGACCCTGTTGTCCCCAAAAGAAGAGAGGGAGAAGCAGTGGCAGGGGGTGTTTCAGGCCACAGGGTGGCATGGCAGATGCAGTGCTGCCAGGAAAACCAGCTCACTGATGAAGAATTGGGTTATTAACCGGCAGTGCAGCCACTCCTCCCAGAAAAGCAGCGAGATAGAGCCTGAACTCCACCGACAACAGGAAAACATTTCTTCACAATAGGGTTGGTGGGTTTTTAATATAACACACCCCTACCATTTTTCATCAAAACCACCTTGGATATGTGATCTTTATGGCAGCCATAATTAGAATAAACTGTTGAAGAAAAATTGTTCCATTTGAAAATTTTATGTAAATCATTTGGTTGAGGTAGTAAAAGGAACTTCTGCACCACAGGAGACTGCTTATGGCTCTCTCCTCCCAGAAATTACAGGTGGGAAGTTACCTACCAACATGCCTTTTTAGTGACTCACTCAGGAGAAACATCAAGAGACTGTTGAACAGACCAGCATCTTAAAAATAAAAATAAACCGAATAAAACATTCAGCCACGCCTCTGTGAGAAAGAAGCCTCCAGCACATCTTCTCTGCTAAACACAACTAAATTCCCCCCGTTCATTCTTTGCTGGAAATTATGAAGTGAAAATTCGGTCTTCTGCAGAGATCTGGCACATATCTTACGCACTGTTGAAATCACACAGTTTAAGTGGGATGTAAGTGATGCAAAAACCCTGCCTGGTCTTCTGCCCAAGGCTGAATTTCACCATTCAGGATCATTTCTGCAGAGCTCGACCGTGTCTTACAAGGAGCTGAGTGCTCTGAGAATTCATTGACTTAGCTCTTAACACTGTCAGTTTGCTCTTCTTTTATCTACTATGCTTTGAGCCTCTAGTTTATTTTCCTCCCTCTGTCTGCGTGAGAGCTAAGCCCTTGAGCTGTTCCTTTCGTCCTATTTTACCTCTCCAGATTAAAAAGACTGTTTGTGTTTTGTGTACTAAGCAGTCTGTGGGAAAATGGACACTACTGTGTAACGGGTCTAAGGCTTCACCCCCACTTTGGAAGTGACATGAAAGTTAACATCACACTTGTGATAAACGGTGCAGAAGCTACCATGGCTTTCTGCTGGCATTATCCATCACCGCAGTGAACACAGATGGTTGGTAGCCCAGAAGAATGACTGTGGTCTAAAACAAAAGAGCTTTATAAATTAGCTCTTGAAGGTTTTTCTGTGAAAAGAGAAGAAAAAGCCTTGTTCCTATTCCTTGATATTTAAGAATGATTCAGAGGGTGTCATAAATAAAAACCTTCTTGTTTTTTCACATGGAAAGTTCAGACTTTTCTCTAGGAGACACTGTGTCTGGAGAAGTAGCAGAAATGCGACAAGAGTCAAAAACCTGAAAACGAGTAATTCAGGGATAATGGGATGTTTTAAGTGAAACATTTTAAGTTTAGGGTTCTGTCGGCATTTGTTAGCCTGTGTATTTCCAGTGATTGATGCGCCTGGGAGAAGATAGGGCTGTATCAGTCATCCACACTCCTGCCACTCTAGCTAAAGGGTTAGCCCTCCAGGAGGCATTCACTGGGTCCTCCCCACTTCTGAGACTTTCCCTGGCAAAACTGGAGGAAGTCCTAAATCCTGAAGTTTATAAAGTGCAAAATAGACAACACCCACTCACCACTGACCTCTCCAACCCCCTGCAAAAATCCAGGAACACTGACAGTAGGCTTTCAGGGACTGTTCACATAATGCAGTGTGGAAAAAAAGAGTGGAATTTTTGAGGGAGGGTAAGTGGTTTAAAAGTCCTTACTCATTATGTAGACAAGAAGGCCATCTGGGATTAGAATATGTTTTCATACAGTAAAGTGCTGTTGCTTCCACTTTGTAGGGGCAGTATGGATTCTGGCCCTACATGTGAGAGTCACACATACTATGGGGAAGTGCCTGGGCTTCTTTACTGTGTCACAGGACATTTAAGTTTTTGTGAGTAATCCTTATCAGCCTCCACCTCCCTTTGGGCCAGCCTGTGGCTTGAACTGCACAAACTACAGTAGCTGAAGGAGAGGTAAGAAGCTCCCACCAAGCAGATGTGCAACTCTGCTGGATGACGCTCACTGTTCCTGCCCTCCTCCCCTGAACACAGGCAGAGATCTGTCTTAATCTCAGATTCTCTCTGGGAGCAGAAAAGATGAACACTGGTTGTAAAAGTCATAGGAAAGTGTGAGCTGAGTTGAATAATCAGGGCACTGGGATTACTTCATAGTGAAAAGCAATGGGACAGGACTAAGAAAAGAAAAATATAGGCTGTGTCAGGAAAAAAAAAGAAGATTCAGATGTTAAATTACAGTGTTGTCCCACTTCTTGTTCAACTTAAAGGCCTCTAGAGAGTTTTTAAAGGAAAAGATTAAAAATATAAAAGGAGAAATGATACTGCATTGGCACTGCAAGATCTATTAATGAGTCTGAATGATGTCCTGCTATTTTAAAAGTGCTCCATGCAGGTCACACTAAGCTGAAAAATGTGATACTGATATCTCATGTCAACTCAGCAGTTTCAAGGATGCATTGCTCAATGTATCTCACAGCTGATCTCCTCTCAGAGTAGAGCTGATCTAAGATGTTGTCTGTTATTTATCCTCTTGACAAGCAAGTTGTGCAATGATGCCCTCCACCTTCCCAGATTAATTTTTAAAGGACTAAATGCAGTGAAAGAATGGGACCCTCAGAAACATGAAAATTTTGACTTCCTCCAAAACTGCACTATGGCCCTGTAATAGCCTGAGTCACTGCTGTAGCAAGTGCCTTACAGTCTTTTCAAGAGAGAAGGAAAGACCACAAGCAAAGACCTGGGTCCACGATACAGAGTAGACAGAACCAGGGACAAAGCCTACAATGTTCTTTCATTATCAGGGCTGTGCAGCTCATGGCTGGAGAAGCAGAGATTTGTGGCAGGAGATGTGTCTGGGGAATCTTCATGTATGGGTTTGCAGTGAGGGAAGGAGTCACTCCTCACAATGAGAAGGGGCGTATGAGTATTCAGAGGTGGTACAGAAAAGTAGAGAGTAGCTATAGTCTTTCCTTTTTTTTGTACCAAGTGTCCATTTTACAACAAACCAATATCACATGACAGTTCCAGCTGATTGAACAAAACAAACCTAGAAAACCTATTTGCCTGTGCCCACAGTTTGAACTGAGAAAATGTGATGTACACATTGAGCCAGTCATCAAAGAGGACAGGAATTTTGTACCGAGGCACTCAGAAAAAGCAATAGAGAGAAGAAAACATGAACAGAAGAAAGGGATCTGGGAAAGCTCAAAACTCTAGCAATTACTAGAGCTGTGCGTGTGTCTCAGCAGGTCAGCTAGCCTGGGGACATGGGACTCTTGCCAAAGGGCTATCAGTGAGGTCCTTTGATCAACATGAATGTTTAAGCATTACTTCTGCACCTATCACATTTCTGCACATTTAATTTGTTACCAAATTGCTTTTTCTTTCTGCAAAAAGAAAAAACAACCCCTGATCTTTATTTCTTGAGTTGAGGTTTAGATAGGGGCTTACAGAGAGTCCACCAGTAAGGTACATGAACGAGTCATGAAAGCAATTGTAATGTGATTTGTTCTCATTTTCATTCTTCTTTGTCTAACACAGTGAATCAATGTTTACTTACAAGCGTGCTTTCACTCTAAATGACCCATGCAAGCTCACTGAGGTTGAATGAGGCCAGAGTTTGAAAAAAAATATAGAAATTCAGTCATGCACTAAGCATCGATAACAATAGTACAGACCTTACATAGCAAAGCTTTTGGAACAAAACAGCTTGCAGTTGGAAAAGCCACACTGGCCCTATTCTCCTAGGTTTCCCCAAAACTCCCTTTACAGATTGTCTCTGATGTCTTTAATGCACCTACACTTGTCAGATCAACCAATATGGTGACTTACTAACACTCCCTTCAACAATGACATCTGTCAAAGATTGATGACTTGTTGGTGTGCTGGGGTAGGTAGAATTGGAAAGGAGCAGATGTGAAGAGACATGCAGATTTTTCTTTGTGAAACTGGAGGCTCAGAAAGATACAAATTCTGATGGTGATAAAGAGCAAAACATCACCCTGCAACACCAGCTTCTCCTCAAAGTCAGCAAAGTGATGTTCCCAGTAAGTCTGGGTGCTTGCAGCTGAAAGGCTGAGCTGATTACTCTGTGGTACCTGTATTTCTAGATGCAAGACCATTATGCATGAGAAGATAATCAGAGCTGGTTGAGGTTGTAGAGGTAAAATTTCAGAAAAAAAAAAAAGCACCAAAGTGTCAGAGTGAGCAGTTCAAATGCAAATAGATTTGCTGTCATAAACTGAAAAATATAAGTATACCTCTATATACTAAACAATCCTCAATACCTATGAATATTAGCTGGGGACCAGTCAGTGGCTTGTTCTGCTTAGGCACACAGAGGCATGAAATGCTGGGGTTTCAACCCCAAGCCCCAAATTAAGGGTGACATATTGGTGATTCCCACAGCCCTTCACAAAGGGGGGGTGAGTTTACCTTTAAGCTTCCCTCCAGGGTGCAGCCGGCCTTGCAGGGAGAGCCATTGGGTAAATGAGCCCCAGGTGTCCCACATTAAGTAAACAAAGGTCAGGTGTCCCACTTAGGGATAAAAGCTGGGACCACTTGCAGGCAGGGGCAGTGTCTGTCTGTGAGGTGGATGAACTTTGCAGAGTTCCCCGTTGGGGAAGGAGCTCCTGCCTCCCTGGAACTGGGCTCCAGTCAGGTCTGGCTTCTGTAAACACAGGCTGTGTAGAGATTCAGTATGTGGCTTCCTTGGTCTTATGTATTTGGCTTGTTGACTCAATTGTCTCTGGTCCCTTCTATGGGAGACTGCATTTCACCATTTATTCCACCCATTATTGGTTGTGTGGTGTCATTCGTGGGGTCAGTGGGATTGATGTTGTTTATGTATAATCTGACTGATTTGTTTGTATCCCCAGTGCTCACCCATGTACTGACCCTATTGTATCAAATAGAATTTGGTTATTGGTTCATCTTCATACTGGCTGTGTCCTTTATGCTAGGCCTAATAATTGGCGAAACAAGGCACAAGAGGGAATAATGCCATTCCATATGCACCTTCAGGAACGGTGGCCAGGTTAACACCATTTCCACCATTCCTTGCATTGTGCAAGGTCATGCTAGCTGTACTGACCAACCTGATGGGACGTGCAAGAGGCAGCTCCTGGTCAAGGCCGAGACAGCTCAAGGAAAAGCCTTTCCCAAGGGCTAACTGTTAAGGTGCCTCTGGGGAGCGAGGCCTGAGGGTGTTCATAAGCCCTGTGCAGGCTTGGGCAGAAGCAGTCCTGTCCTCTGCTCCTCAAACTGTGTCTAGCTTGGTACCAGAGCTTTGCTGTGATAGTATGGTAAGTGAGAGCACAGCAGACAGGACTATCTTTCATAAAGCTCCAGTGAATCTGGCTCAAAGTCTCATAAGTCTTCAAGCTTAAAGCCAGATGAACATTCAAAAGCCAAATACCTAAGCTGCTCTCACCTCAAGTGACCTTAATTAACAATCTAAGTGGATAGTTTAGCTAAATTTTCTATGTTTGGGAAGGAGAGTGGTGGAAGATTAGTATTAAGGATATTTAACAATAAATATGGCCAGCATTAAATATAAACTGATTTAAAAAGACAAGTGCAGAAGTGGAGAAGTTTTATTAGTGATACTTTTTCTCCCTTGACTGCTTTCCTGGCTGTCAACATTTCAAAGGAGCAGTTCACAGGTGTTTTTTTCAGTAACTTTAAGATAGCCCGATTATGCCAAGATGCAAACCATTCCTAGGAAGCAGATTTTGGCCTTTATCTGTTTATCCATTGTTTCTTCACATATTTATCTGCCATATTATCCACCCTAATTACTTCATCTTGGGTCTCTTAGGTTCAGAATTAGGCCCAGAGAGAACAGATAAACCGAACAGAAATCTTTATGCTTGCTTGGAGTCAAAAAAAAGCACATCCGACATCACAACACGATTATCCTTAACTCATTCATTGACTTCTGGCAGCCTCCATCCTGTCACGCACATGTATAATTAAGGCTTGAATCGCCAGCGAGGGAAGCTAATGGCATCATTCCCAGGGACCACAATGGCCTTCAAATCTAGCTGGTCTATGGATCTATCTAATTCTGATGCAGTTCTCATCCTGCTCCATATAAACCAAGCTCATTACAAGTGCATGATGTTAATTATTTTTTTTTGCCAATGGCATCAACTGTTCATCAGCTTCTGCTTTTAAATACTTTTTTCAACCTCCTTTCCCTTTAGCATGTCCCTCGGAATTATTCAGACACCTGGAAACAAGGAAGGGTATAGTTGTGGAGCTACTTTCCCCTTGTGAATCTCTGCCTCACAATTTTATTTTTTTTTTAAGCTGGGCACTGTTCGCAGCACAGTCCAGATACAAGTCAAAGGGTTTTTTTTTCCCTCTTCAAGAATATGGGGGGGAGGGGAATATTTATTTTCTACTTTAGCTGCTCTTGACAAGAGAGGGGTAATTGGTATTTTAAATTAACCATGTTAAATCTAGGAATACTGTAAAATGACATAAAGTTTCATGCAACTAATTTCTTTTTAATATAAGATAGCCCTACTCTGAAGAATTTATCTTTTCAAATTTTTAACTGTACCTGGTATCTCTGTCCGAGCTTGTTCAGGTCACTGCATGTGAGGTGAGCCCCACCTTTCTAGGAAACACAGAGTAATCTGAATTTGCTTGAAAACCTTTTAAAACTATGCAGCAATTTCAAGTCATTCCTCTTCCCTCTCTCTGTGTCCCTGTCCCTCCCAGCACTGTTTCAAGACATGCACAAAAAACAGAAAAAAGAAAATCATAAAAGCTCACCCCTACATTTCATCTGAATAAAATCCAGCTGGTGAATCGACTGCAGTAAAGGTTCACTATCCAAAGTCAAGTCAAACTCAGCAGACACTTTTGGCTCCAAGGCTCCTTTGACCCACTGTTCCTGAGATACCTGAACACGCTTGATTAAAGCATCCGAAATCTGAAAGAGAGTATGAGGCTTATGATGAAATGGCAAATGCACACATTGAAAGTGACAGAATGCCTGTGAGATACAGCACAAAGAAAGCAGGAATATGACAGCACAACAGCTGAGATGAGATCTGGTTGTTTTGGGGTGAGGTCCATTTATGTTGCATCCTTTCATCTTGTCTTTTCAAAACAAATCTCATCTTAGGGTAGGGAAGTAAAAATCGCATTTATAAAGCCTGTTAAGATTATGTTAGGTATCATGCCTCTGAATGCCACATACACTTCTGCACTCTGTTCTCTGATCTACACAATCTAGTTTTGCTCTCCTGTTTGAAAAGCAGTTGCACAAAGAGAGGCTTAAATGTTAGAGGGTCTCTCCATTCAGCAGAGCTGATTCAGCAGATGAAAGCAAAAAAAGAATAAAAAAATCAGATGGAAAGGGAGGTATGTATTTCTCACAGTGAGGGTGCTAAGTTGTCAGATAGATTTTCAAAGAATATGATTAATTTTCTATCATTACATCAAAATTGAATTTCATTTTTAAAGCTTTGCTCTAGCTCAGCCCACAGACAATTAGGCCAAAAGTCAGACTAAGATGATTGCAACGGACTTTTCTGAAAGTGAAATCCCGATTCTGTGGAAATCAGTTAATTCAACTGTCCTTGAGTTCAGTGAAGCTGCCACTTGTATATCTGGAGTTCCTCCCAGTGAGCTTCCTGTAAGTCACAAGGAGCAGAATTTTCTTCTAGATAGGTCAGAGAGAGTTTTTCTTTACTGTAGGAGTTCAGGTACCTTTCTTCATTACTGTTACCAGAAGACACTCCTGCCTGAGCCCCTGCATCAACAGCTCCTAATCAGCCTGTGCAGTAAGCAGAGGAGCATCTCATAGCCTTCCTACAACTCTGCAGTGACTTACTGGGATGCTGGATCCCTCAGCTGTGTTTCAATGTCCTGGCTGCAAAAGTAGCCGCTCTAAGTAATGCAGTGCCTCAGTGCTTGCCAGCTGCCTTGAAAGCATCGTTAGATAAACCAGGAAAAGGTGAAAACAAAAGTGTTTTTGTATAAAAGATGACTACAAAGAATGAAGCCACAAAGGTTACAGGAAAAGTAAGCTGAAATGAAAACAAAGCATGTATCTTGCTAGCACGTAGATACGACCTAAAGACCTTTAATTTGTCCTGCAGTATCCAACAGACAGCCTGCTAAAATCTGTGTAGTCTTGAGATTAACGTACACTACATATTCCACACTCTTGCTTGAGACCTGACATGACAGTAACAATCAATCTGGAGTGTTAATAGGTTTAAGGTGGCTAATTCTCATCGTGTTTTTTAGGGATGCTGTGACAGTCCCCTGACACTCATGTATTCACGTGTGCAGGGTGCCCTGTTCAGCCGACAGCCACGTGCAGACCATTTTGTTTGATGTGCCTTTCTTAGACAATTAATAAGGCAACAGAACTAACACAGCAAAATAATTAATAAAAATAGCAGAATTAATTGGGCAAAATAATTAATTGGTTAATAAAACTGTTATGTTTTGTCTCATCGATACTTTCACTGCTTGCACCTAAGAAACAATATTCTGCAAATTAAGGCAATTGTTAGTGAGGCCATATTTTGCAAAGAGGGGTTACCTGGATCCTCCAGCTACAAGACAGGTCTTGTAGCCCAGTGAGGTGCAACAATCCCAGTGAAGTAAAGCTACACACAAGCTCTTAAGGCTGGATTTTCTCACAGGGGAGATTTCAAAAGGACTCTTTCATAGGGGAAAAAGTAATGCAAAAGGGAAAAGCAAAAAGGGGAGAAGTACTACTCTGCTGAGTCATAGACCTTTCCAAATTGATCAGAGCTCTGTGAGTCCCTGTGTTGGGTTTCTCAGATGAGAATAAAATAATATCTTGCAGAAAGTCATTATTAACTGCATAGTATCTGTCTTTCAGCTCAGAAGGAAGGGCTGGCAAGAGGAAAGATGTCAGCAGTCAGGGAAGTGGCGTGACCACTAACTCCACATCTCAGTCAGGGTACAGCTGTTCAAAGCCATCCCTTCCCTGGGACATTCATGCAGCCACCAGGCTATCTGAGCTTTTAGACAATGATAACAAGATTTAAGATGAACCTGTCTCAGAGGTGGAAGACCCTAATTAGTAAAGCTGACCATTTTTAGATTTAATTTTAATGTCTTGTCTTTTTTTTTTTTTTTTCCCCCCGAACATTGGAAAGAAAAATACCTGTAAAAACCCAGAGGGATCATTTTCTTTGATAACTTCTAGGCAGTACTCCATAAGCCCTGTTGACTGGCGTAGCTTGAGTGTACAGTGATTTATCTGGTCCCAAACAACCTGGAAAACAAGCATCAGTACAGTTCTGATGACCGCCTCAGCTGACAGTGAATTGTATAAGATTATTTCAGAAGAAACAACAAATGGAAGAGTGTGTTAAAGCTGTGCTTAATTTAGCTGCCATATGGCCATTGCCATATCTCCATCAGCTACACTCACTTACGCTGTATTGCAAATACCGATAATTAGCCTGGCAAAATGTTGTGCACAGGGGATCTCAATTTTCAGAGCAGATTAATTGCTCAAAGATCAGGCTTGAGGAACATGTTTCTACATTTGCAGTATTCACATGTACAATCACACTTCCACTAAAATCTGAGCTTTTAAAAAATCGCTCACTTAAAACGCAACTATTACAGAGGATAACTGAGGAATGTTTTTTTGCAGATTATACTCTACCATTCTCTTCACAATTCACCATTGATCCCACTCTGTTTAAGAATGCATTGCTGGAATTAAGAAATAAAAAAGCTGCATCTAATTTTTCCAGATTTTGAACTTGATTCTGCTGCCACATTGCTGTAGACTAGGCCTAATTGCACCGTGCTCGATAGCACAACTCCCACGGTACAACAGCCTAACAGGAGTAAACTGCAGGATTAGCTGTGCTCTTAGCAGTATGTCCTAAGTGTTGGTTCTTGTTAAGCATGGGGGTTTTTAAATGCTGATCTCCGGTAGATTTTATTAATTCTTTGCCATCTTAGATATTTCACTTCAATTTTTTCTTCTATCTTAGATACTATTAATGTTACTGGCAGTACAATACCTCAAAATCAGATATGCAATACAACATTTCAAGAAATGTGTCTATTTAAACATTTGTTCAACCATTTACAGCTTTCCTCTCCCCACCCCCCTTTACTGCATTTCTTTAATATCTTCTCAGTGGCACATGGATTTCTGGAGGTGACTTACCTAAATTTCAAAGGTTTGAAGAGACATCAAAATCCCAACATTTTACTTGGGCAGAAGGTTCCAGAATTCAAATCACACACAGGTTTCACTGGTAAGCACCTCTCTAAAGATAGTCCCAAACCATCAGATAAATAAAGACTGATGGCCTGATTCAACAAACTACTGAAGCATATGCCTCATTTTAAGTGTATAAGCACAGTTCCACTAAATCACTGAACTAGAACCTGATAAAGGACTTTAGGATTTGGTCACTAGGAATTTTCATGGTGTAAAGGGCTGGGAACTTGACGAAATGCACAGTAACACCAGGTATCAGCAGCTGTGCTCAGCTGATGAGAGTTGTGCTCACCTTCAGCTTGTGCTCACGTTCTTTGGTCACCTTTGTGAGCAGTTTTGCCTTTTGTCGCGTTAATGCATCAACCAAGGCATCACACTGAGCGACAAGACAGGCTTCATAATCCAACCCGTTCTCCTAGAAGAAGGTGAGAGTCATATTCATCAAAGAAAGGATATTTTACAATTTAAGCTATTGCTCATTCTTACCTGTTTTTCTATTCAGGAAATAATTCTTTTCAAGACCTCAGCATTTCTGTTGCCCTTCTGATTTCATTATAGCTGTATCAGCAATAGCTGCATGCTATAAAACAAACAGTAAAATGCTATGCCACAAATGGGCTTATTTAAAACTTCGACTTACGGGCACTTTCCAGATAACAGATGTAGTACAACATAATGTAAAAGCTAAACCTAACATACACAGTGCATACATATACATAAAATGATTCTGCTCCATCCTGTTTTAATTATTCCAATGTAGCAACTTTGAAATCACTGGCTCTACACCATGGCAATTCAAACAGAATTATGGACCTGAATCTGGTCTACAGGCTTATTACAAGGAAATTAATCAGGTACAAAGCCCTGAGATTTGTGTATTGTTTCAATTCCTTTTTAAAAAATAGCTAGCAGTTGGCAGTGGAGACATGTATTTGATTAGCTTAAAAAGCCCCAACAAACACGGTCAGTCTTCATTCACGTTGTGGTAAAACTCTCTGCTAGGCAGAGGCCAGCATCTGAGGAACACAACACTGAGCCTTGAGTAGGTCATGGGTATCATTCAGTGTTACATAAACCCTGTGCTCTCAATGGGGAACCAACCATGCTACCACAGAATCCCATGCAGATATAGAAATCTGAGTAGATGGTACTACAAGGTCCTGAGCTGCCTCTCCTCCCAGGGATGGCTTTCTCTGGCTGTGGAACAATGCTACATCACCCACTAAAAGGGAGACTCTCCCTCGCTTCCTCTGCTCATGAGACAGCTTTCAAGGTCCTCTTTCAAGGAGTCGTTCAGTTACCCTATCCGCTTTCCTCCCAAATACCCAAACGAAAAAAAAAAAAAAAAAAGTGCATTAAATGTGAAAATATTTTAAACACATGCTGAAGAAGCATCTCTGTGGCAAGCCATCACACGCCCCTAACTCATTACTCATTACATGTTTTTCCTCTTCTGTTCATTTGCTTTGTCTTCATTCTTTTGAGAGCAAAATTTTCAGGACTGTATTGCCTTCCCTTATTGCAACCCATGCATCCTGACCTCCAGCTCAGGGACACAGGGTCACTCTTTTCTGAGAGGCCCCTGCCGCAATCCTAGACCTGCCAGCAAGATGGGTGGGGGGAGAGACACCAGACGGCTCAGTTACTGTTCACAGGTTTGTCTTAGACTCTTCCTGTTTGCATCTCTCCCTCCTCGGCTTATATCACACCCAACTCCTCCTTAAGCCCATTTCCATCCAGCTATTCTTGAAATGCTGGTCTGTATACAGAGCCTGAATCAGCCGATGACTGCAGTGCATCGTTTCTCTCCTCATTTTCTGTTCACACATCAAACAGGGTGTTTGGCAATATGCCTCTTTCAAGTGAGAAAGGATGAAATTGTTACAGCAGATGGGAAAATCTGAAAATCAGATAATGACAGCAACAAGGAGGAGCAAGGAAGCAACAGGGGCAATGAGGAACAGGCAGTTTCTGGAAAGAAGAGACCAAGAGATTTAAAAGTGACCTCAGAAAGGAGAAGGGAAGGAAAAAAGAGGGGGAAACAATCAATCTGCAAAGCAGGGAAAAGAAAAGTATGTATTTGCAAGCTACCCCAAGCAAGATAGAAGTACAGCTCCTGGTAGCTCTGGCAAACTCAGAGAGGAGAGGAAGAGTGCAGGTGGCTGTCTGGTCTGCCGTGCACTGAGACAGGATAATAAAATGTACGCATTGTTTACACTCCTTTGTGTAAACATACATTTTAAAGACATTTTTGCTGAGGGGTAAATGTTGATACGTGTGTGTGACAGCCATCATAATACTCCTATTAGAAATAACCAGCTCTGAGATACATGGTTCTGGGTATAAATCTATGTACAAAGGCTACATCTATTCCTCCCCAAATAACAGTCCAAGATCTGTTTTTTCGTTCAAGATACCAAAAGGCACAGATCAGCTCATGACACATCTAAACCCTTTCACCCTAAATAGTGTGGCTGTACCAAACCTGCCTACCAGGAGTATTCCTTGATACGTGCTATCATCAAATGCTGCTTGAGCATCACCTGGGAAGACTGGTGTTTCTCATGGGAGAAAACCATGCCTGGGAGCTCGTTAAGGGTTAAAGTGCGTGGGTGATCATCTCAGAGCTGTGCCCTAGACTTGTTTTACTTAGAAATACATTATATACAGGGATATATACATATATTAAATACAGGGCTGATTAGCCCTTCTCTTTAGGTTTGCTGAAATTTGATGTCCTCACTCAGACTCAAAATAGAGACTAGCACAATGTGTGAGGGTCAGATCCAGCTTTGTGCCCAGACATGCCTAAATGTTACAGGGTAACTGCTGGATACAGTTTCATCCTCTGAGTTCTCCTCTAGCACTTCAAGCAAAGAGCAGCATCAAATAAATGGCTAGGTCTTTTGATGTAATTGTAGCAGCTCCCTTATGCAGAGCAATTTGGCAGTGATTCTATTGAAATACACTGAAGAATTTTACAGCATAGTCATAAATAGTCGTAATAGGCCAGGTTTAGGTTTCAGGAGGGAAAAATACATTTCTAATGGAGGTAGGTGACTCAAGAAAAGACTGGTGATAACTACTGTTTTGGATGAGTTATCCCATTCTAAAATAGCTGTTCATATCTGTAGGAAGAACTGCTTTCTTGAGGTGCCTGTCCTTCTCCTTGGACAATGAAAGAAGCCTAAATGGCTAAATTAGATGAGCTACATAACTTTTAAATAGGTAAGGTCAGCTGAGAGAAACCTCACATTGTGTCCAAAACATGGCATATGACAGACGCCAGTTGGTGCCTTTGCACTGGTTACTTTCAGTTAGATGTGGTGGTCTTTTGCCAGTTCCTCAGTCTTGTTTTGTTCCCTTCCCCTTGTGGTGAAAGACTGTGAGGATGGGTAGCTACGCTGTCCTGTGGCAACCTGAGAGCTTGGGCAGCCTTTGCGGTACGAATTCATCATCTGGAGTGTTCAGTGGAATATCTTAATGATTAAATTCTAAACTAAATACAGCTATTTGAACTTCTGCTTGGGCTTTCTATTACTAACATGCACAGGACTTGGTTGTTGATGGAAGATGAGCAAGTAGCAGAGCGGGCATACTGTAAAGAAGATGATGTATATCCATCCCACAGAAAACCCACCACTGCAGAGCACTGCTGCTGCAGATAACAAGCATCTCCTCCTGGGCACTGTGAAGCTTAAACTAAGGCAGCATGTTTCCAGCCACACTCTGTAGGGTAAAAAGGGCCTTGAGGATCATCTGACCTCCAGCAGTGATGAACCTAAATTTAGTTGAAAATAGGACTTGTTTCATTTTCAGTTTGTGCCCTCAATTACTGTACCCACCATGAGCCCTTTTCTGACTATTAAACTGTTTAATTATAGGCACAAAAATATCTTCTGCTTCAATAAACAGCCACATTGATTTAGCAACATTTGCTTCTTCTTCTTCTTTATTTTGATTTCCTACAAATACTCTAATAAACAGGTTGACTGGATTTTGTCCAGAAATTAGTATATTTTTAGAAAATGTAAGGTGAAAAACAAGTAGCACGTTTTGAATGTGTTAACATGAGAATTTATCCTAAATGCCCAATTCAAGCAATTGCAGTCGGGAAGGAGCCCAGCAGCATGACTGATGGATTCAATCAAATACTAATCAACACAGCTCAGATGTCCGGTATTGAGTATCAGCTTCTTGCAATGAACAGCAAACAATCTAGAAGCTAAGAGGGGCTTGCAGGCATTATTGGATGAATAATTTTGCCTAGCAAATCCATTCAAGGAAGGTTAGATGATTCTGGGAAAGATGAAAATAGCGCAGCAGACAAGTCATCAAATAAATTATTCACTCAGTTTTATTGATTACTGTATTATCAAAACAGCTAATATTCTACAGTTACCTGGATCTGTTGCAATAAATTTTTCAGCTGAACCAAAAATTCTTTAGCTTCCTTTGCTTTATCTGAAACACCGTTTAAAGCCTGAGACAGCTGTGCCTGCAAGAAAAAAAAAAAAAAAAAAAGGGGGGGGGAAAAAAAAAGGAAAAATTAGAGATAAAATGCAAATGTTTTTCTTACTAATCCTTGGGTTTGATGATTAATAATGTTCTAAAAGGCTTACTTGCCATTGCATGTATTCTTACAAGGACAGAGTGTTTGTACTAGAAAAGAACAGTGAAGACTTTAATTGTAATAAGATTTAATAAAGGTGAAATATGCATGTGGGGGCAGTCAATTATTGTGTCTGCACATACCACTTAATTGCAGTGACTGGGTAAGTCAAAATACCTTTTTATAAGACAGCTACCCACATATATAAGGAGATAATAGTCTTAGACAGTAGCATCTGTCATGCTGAAAAATCCCCAAGTGCTTTCCAAAATGCCACTTTTTTTAAAATCAAAGCCTGAATTCTTTATAAATGTGGTAGATCCTACCAAACCTGAGACACACTAGGACTTCAAAGATAAGTCTGCATTTTCAGACTTCACAGTAACGTCCCTTTGGGGCTTCAGTTTTTCGTGCTCCAACCCAACAGAAGAGTATTTCTGGAAAAGTTGGAAAAAAACCCTTCTAAATTTTTGACTGGTGAGACATATGGAATATGTCTTTTGCAAGTCCACACTGAAGACCTAAATTCCCCTCTTCTCAGCTGCCACCTGAGATCTCTGAATCAAACTGGAGGCTTCTTGATGGACTTCCAGGATGGGAAAGAAATGGCAGTTCTGCCATCTTCTGACCGGAGCAGCCCTGGCGCAGCTTCCCTGGAAGCCTGGCTGGGATTACAGAAACTGTATTGCTCTGCTTGTCAGCCCATGGCAATTCCAGATCCAGCATTACTGCTCTGTGCAGACATAATGCAGAGTGACTGGATAGGTCCCATCATGAGTGTCCTGCAGGTTAGATATTCTCTTCACAGGTCTACCCCTCAGGCAGACTTGGCATCTACCAGAATGCCAATGCCCGGTTAATTATCCTCACCAAAGAGACACAACAACATTTCCAACAGGAAATGGAAGATGAAGTATCTTTGCTAAGATCAGGTTTTCAGGAGGTTGCCATCTCTTGTTTCCTTAGGACTACAGTGTGCCTTGAGACAAAGCCTTGTATGTCAGGAGGCACAAAAGTTATGTGCCCCTAAGATGAGACCTAATTGAAATTCAGTAAGTCACCACTCATTTTCTGCTTCCCTCTTGCTCCTAGAGGGAAGTAAATTACTCCACCCCTGAAAAGGACACAGTTCACTTCTTCAGGCTGTCAAAGTCTTGAGTTTACCTCCCACCTGCACAGACATGCTCCACTTGTGTTTGCTCACTCTCACAGGACAGCAAAGAGCAGACCCTGGCAGTTCCCTGTGGGCACCTCACAGCCCAGCTCCGAGGCAGGCAGCCTTACACAGGCAGAGCCACTGCCTAACCCCACACGGCGCTGCAGGGAGTGCATACAAACCCTGACTGGGAGCTGGGACTGAATTATAGAGAAAGAAACCAGCCTAGGTTTTTTGTCCTCATATTCACACAAACTTTTTCCTTTTAGCCCAGTTGTAGCTATTATATTAGCACAAAATTTGAAAATATAATGTGCTTTACCTCAACTCATTTGTAACAAAGGTAATGGGAAGACACATTACTGTGTATGTTTCTCAGTATTTGAATATTCAGCATTGTCTTTTACAAACTCTTGTCGCTGCAGAAAAATTTAAAGCGATGATGTTTGATACGACTGCTACTTGAGGTCACAAAAGCAAACTCCAGGTCCTTGAAAGGGTCCCTATTTTCTGCCAGATCAGACAATCAGGACTTCAGATCAGCTCTCCACATGCTGATCACAGTTGCCAGAGTTTAAAGCCCACCCTTTTTGATTGCACTTTCTTCTCCATCCACAAGCCTTTGGTTTGTCAAGCTGATGCAGGACAAGGTAGAAGCAGCACACAACTAAGCAGGTGAGGAGGAACTGAGAAAGAAATAGGTGTGCAAAAGCATGGTATCCTCTGCCACTGACTGGCCCAACCAAATTGTCCCAGGGAGGCAAGGGCTCCTTTCTTTCAAATCAAAAGCAGTGATTGGTCCCAACAAAAGTAAAACTTCTACTTTTCCAACATCTGCTCTAGCTCTCAAATCATCGCAAAGTGCATTTAACCAGACGAGAAGAGCCAAAAGCTATATGCGGGCATCTCAGTAGCCATAGAAAACTGAATCACTGCAGACGAATTGTAACCAACATACAGCATATGTACCAACGGCAATTAGCACAGTTACTCCTGGCTCCTGCCAGGCTCCCATCGCAAAGACCTGCAATAGAAACTCAACAATGTCATTGTTGAAATGGCTTGTAAACGAATTTCTGTGTTCATTAAAACCTGTGGTTGCATTAACGCAACTGCAGCATGAAGCCGAGGAGAAGACCAGATCTCCATTTGTGAAACCCACTTAGAGATAATAGCCTTGTTTTTCCAGGCATTTGTAAAAGATACCTTGCAAAGCAGTGGAATTTAGTCATGCATTTCCCATTAAAATCAAATGGAGCTACATGACTAAGCCCTCACTAAACCAACCAAGCCATAAAAAATGTCCTATACACTCAGAGCAATCTTTCATGATGCAGAAATACTTACTAGAATCCAAACTGAATGTTACAAGCTCCACTGACTGTGACACTTAATAACTCCTGACAAAGAGTATTCTACCTGGTGTTATCTTTACTTTAATGCCTGGTCTTGCAACCAATAATGTGGGTGCTGGAGATGGATAGCAAGTTTCTACTTCAATCAAATACAGGAACAGGGAGATAATAAGGGTGAGTAATTAAACCCTGATGGGCATGGAAGACCGATGCTTCCTTCAATTTTAGAAAATGAACGAGATCATGCCCACATCCTTTTTTCAACCAAACAGTTCATCCTCATTTAACTTGTTTTCTCTCTATCTCTCTTTAGCAGCAGATTAACTATTGATTAGCTAAGCTTGTCCTGGTGCTGAATGCTGAAACAGCCCACATGGTTTTGGGAACACAACTCTTTAGGCCAGCAAATAAAAGCAGGCATTTGGACTCCAACACTTGTCTTCAACTGCCTGCCATCCTGTCATTCACAGACCTATCCAGCTGTGGCTTTTTTCAGCATTTCGGTATATATATATATATATATATACATATATATATATATATACATATATATATATATATATACACACACACATATAACCATTTAGAATGGGCAGAGCTGAAATGTGTCCATCACTCCTCATACTAGCAGGTCAAAAGGTCTACCAACTTAAATCTGACAACAGTGTCACTGTTCTTGCTAAGAAGACATAAAAGGACTTCACTTTGGCAGAAGACTTACACAGTTTTACTTAATAACCTCAAGCTGCTGGTCCATATGCACTTTTAATGAAAGAGAATACAATAAAGCCCAGCTAAGTCAGTGGATTTTCACAGATTTATGTCATTGGGGCCCTGTTGTTATTTTACGCCATTTCTAATTTCTCTGTAGGAGAAGTTACATACAGCAGTGTAATAGGGAACCTGCACCATTAACAGGGGCCAACCAGTGGCAGTATAACTGAGGGTAAATGCACGTTTCAATGCATGGTCTGTAGCACTGTAGGGATAAACTCTGTAGCTTGCCACTAGATCACTACATACAGTACAGACAAAGAAGTCAAACAGTTTGAAAAGGCTAATACAGAAGTGGGATGGAAATGGATCCTAAAGCTGAAGGTGGTCAGAGCCTCTGGAAAAGCAGTTTTGCAATCAATAGAAAAAATGTTTGAAATTTGCTGTTGTGGGATGAAACTGTGTCCTGAGAGGTGGGGAAATGGATCTGGCAGCCCTCTACCAGTCACTGGCCTTAGAAAGGAGATAGGCAGGTGCTTATCAGCTGACGGTGAACAACTGCCAGTCTGTCAAAATTACTGGGCTAAGAACACTCATGGACAAGCCCTTCCAGCTGCCTCTACCAGCTACACCTGGAGCATCTGGAGAGAACACATAAAACTTGAATTACGTTTCATATACCACTCAATGTAAGTAATTTATGGTTTGGCTAAAGTAACTACAGGTAATAAACTTGTAGAAATTGCTGTATCTGAGAACTATTTCTAAGCAGAAGTATCTAATTCCAAAACAATTTATCTGAATGAAGGTGAGCTGATGATTTAGGCTGTCTGGCTACATGGTTCCATTATATTTATTTTCTGCCAAGCACATTGTTCTGAGAAAATCAACATTCACAAGACCACAATTTTGGAGTCCCCAGTTTAGTTAAATTTGAGTATTTTTTTTCTACCACTAGAATTTTCACATTGACTGAGTCTGTAAATCAAGAGAAAAATCACATTCTGTGATACATTAGACCCAGGAAAAAAAAAAAAAAAGCAGTAAAAATATAAACCACCAGGGTATTGTTCATTCTTTTGACAACATTTGACAGTATGAAAGAGAAAAAATGACTGACTGAATTTTGATTACACCGGAGTTTATCACATTGTTCAAAAAGGCATCAAACAGTTTAAACTCAAGGTAGACCACAATACAGCACAAGCTTGTCTCTCACACTCTCCAAAACATCAGCCATACTTGAACATTGAACTCTTGTCCTTGCTCACTAAAATAATTCTGCTCAGAAGTGGATTCTGCCACTGGCATAAGCAGCAATAGCTGCAAATTTGTAATCTGTTCCTTCTGGGCCAAGAGAACTTCTCCTCTGCACAAATACCCATCCTGTTAGGGAGGAGATGGCTGAGCCCTTGGCAGGGCATTCAAACTGAAACAAGTACTGAAGAAGTTTGTCTTTCTCAGATGGACAATGCATATTAATCACTCCGAGGGGCATCTTTTTTGAATCTTAAGACCATTTTTTGCCTTGCCAAATGTCTTAGCCTAGCTTGTGCTCATCCCCTCTGTGGCTGAAGGATGATGAGACCAGTCTTGATTTGTACTCTCCTGCAGTGTCTGAGAGGATCCCTCTGTACTTCTTTTACTACTAACTGCAGCAGAGAGAGAGAAGAAGGGAATCCTGCAGACAGCAGAGCTGGCCAAGTGCTCTTTGCACAGCTGTGGGGGAAGTTCTTTCCCTCCACTACAGCGGGAAGCTCCAAAGGTCTGCTCTCAGCACTCAGGCATTAAAGTCCCCTCTGTACATTGATACGTATTCACTAATCATTTTCCCAGGGTCCACCGTTCTTAGCAAGAACGAGCTAACTTCATACATTCTTTCAACTTGTATGGTCATGTCTTGCTCTTTATTCTGATGGTTGCAAAGTCTTATTTTTACCAGGAAGTGCATGGCCAAGTGACCCCCGTCCCCCAGGGGGCTCCAGGGAGGTCTAAGGCATATCCCTTTCAGGGAAGCATGAATCAGACCATTGCATTCTGTGATTCAGGAAAATCTCTACTTGTCCTCAGACCCCATCCATCCTACAATTCATCGCTCATCTTTGTGTCATGAAGGTCCCACTAGTCATTCCTCCTGACGTCTTTGGGAACTGAATGGGAAGGGAGACCTCTCTGAGGCCCAGGAGAGAACACAGTGTCCCACGTTCCTCCTTATCACTCTTTCCTGTCTAAAATATTTGGGTGGCTCTGGGCGACTCTCCCTCACTGACGTGTGGTAAGACATGGTTGTGGCAATTTGCACAGAGTCCTGGATGAAAGGGAGGTGGTGAAAGGCAGGAATAACCATCCCGTCTCCTCACGGGCAGCTGCTGCCACCCACAAGAGGACGGGGTGGCCAAGGGCCCTGTGGAAGGCAAACAAGTTAGTGAAACGGACTGGCTAATCCCAGGTGTCTGCCTGAGGCGTGGTTGAGCCTGAGATTTGCTGACTGAGGCGAGGCCAACGTGTTGGGGAGCCCGTGGGTGTTCTCACCCTGAGCCGGGGCTGCGGGGTCACTGGGCAGTCAGGAGGGACCGGAGACCTAAGAGCGCAGTGCCCCGGGGGAAAAAGTCTGGGAGGACGATGGAGGTGAAGTAGCCTCATGTCCCACAGAGTGCAACCCGACATCGGGGCATGGGGAGGGAGGAAATCATCGCCCCAGCTGCTCCCGGCCGGCCGCCGGGACTCACCTTGTGCTGCTTCCACATGGCGCCCAGGGCCTTCACGTCGTGCTTGCCGTGCTGGCCTTCCTCCAGGCACCGGTAGCAGACGGGGCTGCGGCAGCTCACGCAGTACATGCTGTAGTTCTCCAGGTCGTGCTCGGCGCACGTCGGCAGCCTGCGGCCGCCGCCCGCCCCCTTGCCGCCGCCGCCGGGGG